CCCGGGGCCCCCCGCCTGGCCACGGGGGGCGCGGCGGCCCGGCGGGCTCCCAGCGGCACGGCCGGGGAGGAAGTGTCAGTTTGTGAACCTGCCGCGGCCCGGGCCCGGCGGGCGGAGACCCTGCAGCGGCAGAGGAGCCAGGTGGCATAGGAGGGCAGGGGCTCAGACTGCACCCCCTACCCACTGCTTGTGCGCTGTGCCCTCAAGAAAAGAGAAATGGGGGATGAGGGGCAGATGTGACTGCGCCGCCGTTCGGGGACCCAAGCCCCTAACAGTGCCCTGCTCTCCCCAGGGCCCCTCAGCCACGCCACCATCACACCCGAACACACTCAAATTCATCGTACACACATGTATTAGTTTCATATACTCACTGGCTCATCGTACGTGTTCTCACACGTGTACACACACGCGCAAACGGAAACACACAAGACTCTCCCAGTTGACATATAATTATAACACCAGGTGCCCAGTTCCATGGCAGACGGGGAGGGCGTCAGTGCAGCGGGTGCAGGAAACAGAGCAAGGCTGTGTTTGGCTGAAGTGGAGTGTGTGTGGAGGGGCGTGGAGCCAGGTGAGCCCAGAGAGCCGCGGCTTTTAGAGAGGGCTTTGAACATCAGATAAAGGCATTTGGACCTTGCTCAGAAGACCTGGAGGGAGGAGGGCACAGAAGGTTTTTCTGGAAGAGAGCTTTAAGACAATGGGAACCGGTGGCCCTTTGGAAGAGTCTAATGGGAGGTAGGAAAGCAGGGGGTGGCCTGTTTTGCACTAGGCACCAAGATGCTTGGTACTATCCCCCATCCCAGGTGCCTAACATAGGTGAGCACAAGGCTCAGGAAACAGTTATTGGATGAATGAATGGCCATGGCAAAAGATGAGGTTTGAACTTAGACTGGATCAGTGGCATAGAAAAGAGGGGACCAAGGCCAGAAGTCATGGTGCAAAGGTGAAATTGGTCGCTGTGGCAACTCATTGGTTAGAGAAGTCTGAGATGCCTCGGGATTCTGGGGACCATGGTAGTATCATTAGCAGGAAGAGAGAAAGCAGTGGGGGAGCAGCACATTTTGTAGGATGGTAAGAGATGGGCATAGAGAGGGTGGCATGGAGATGACTTAACTGCTTGGAGCACATTTGCATCTGGATAAAAGCATAAGCAGGTTTAAATGTCCCAGAATTGGCTTCCATGAAATCATCCCATAATTGAAAACAGAAAGAGGGATTACAAAAGACACAGATGGCCAAGTCTATACCAGTTCACAACCCACGCAGGAGTTTCCCTTTCTAGGTGAGTTTTTCCTGGTCAGATCTCAGGGTAGGATGAAGGGCATAAAAACTTCCCAGCTAGAGAAGGCCATCCACCCAGAGAACAGGAAGTGTGTTTGCTTAAAGGATAAAGCGTCAGGCTCCTCAACCAGGGACTGTAGCTCAGGCCCCCTGGACAGGGAGCCTTTGCTCTGTGTTGACTGAGAGACTCGTTACCTTTTAGAAAGCAGCATGTATAGGTGGAAGGGACCCTGGTGGCCCAGTGGTTAAAGCACTTGGCTGTTAACCGAAATGTCAGTGGTTTGAACCCACCAGCCACTCCTTGGAAACCCTGTGAGGCAGTTCTACTTTGTCCTATAGGGTCGCTGTGAGTCGGAATCGACTCGATGGCAATGGGTATGGTATGGGTGGAAAGAGAGCAACACTTACTTAAAATCAGCTTATCTGATTATGAACTATGGCTTGCTTTGCTTTTGATCAAAACCCATTTCCCTTTGCAAACCTCAGTTTCCCCATCTGTAAAATGGGGATAATGAAGTTTACTTTGCAGTGTTGTCATGAGGATTCAGTGAGGTAAAAAACGTGTCTGGCACATAGCACAAGTTGCATACATGTTAGCTTCCTTCCTTCCTTCCCCCGATTGGCCTTCCGGAGCAGAAAACAGAGTCAAAATCCTGTTCTCTTTCTCTCTCAGTGTCAGTGGAAGTCAATGGAGAATCGAGCTCTGGACCCAGGAACTCGGGACTCCTATGGTGCCACCAGCCATCTCCCCAACAAGGGGGCCTTGGCGAAGGCCAGGAACAACTTCAAAGACCTGATGTCCAAGCTGACAGAGGGCCAGTATGTGCTGTGCCGGTGGACAGATGGACTGTATTACCTTGGGAAGATCAAGAGGGTAAACTTTTCCTCCCTGGCCCCTGTTCTCAGGCTAAGCATCTTACTCCTCATCCCCTGACCTAGCTCTCCAGACCAGTAATGGGGGAAACACCCTTCTTGTCCCTCATACCGAAAAGCTGAAGAGTGGAAAGAGCTGGGCCTGGTTTTGCAGGCACCATCCTTAGTGCCACATTAGCCAACGAGTTCTTCAGAAAAGTACTCTGAGAGCCTACATAAATAAATCAGGCTGGAGAGGAGCACCATGACTATATGGCCTGTTCTGTCCTGAGCATTCCCACCAAGTTGTCCCTGATTGCACATTTCCAGGGAGTGGGAGCACACTGCCTCCAGGAACTTCCTTCTCCTTCTAGCCTAGCTCTGCTTTCTGGAACACAAGGAGTGAGTCTAACCCTTCTGCCCTCTGGGGAAGTCCCTGTTCCAGTTTGGCTTTGCCCCAGCTACTTTCTAATGTTGCTTCTCCCTCTCTGTGCCCCAGGTCAGCAGTTCTAAGCAAAGCTGCCTTGTGACTTTCGAAGATAATTCCAAATACTGGGTCCTATGGAAGGACATACAGCATGGTGAGTGTTCCTAAGATTTCGGATATCCACGCCCTCCTCAGGTCCTCTCTTCTCCCCCACCTCCATTTTTTTCCCTCTGTCCTTCCATCTCCTATTCTCGGCACCTGGCCTTGTCTGTGGACCCCCAGGCCCACCTGAGATGATGATCATATTACCAGTTGTGCATTTATGTGGAAAGGCACTTACTATATCTGTCATCCCCTTGAGTACTCATAACCTCATGTGGGAGGCAGGGCAGATGGTGTAAGTAGCTTGGGGAGATGCTGGGAGAGCTGGGACTGGGTCTCAGGCCTGTGTACATTTCCTTGCTGCACTTGATCTCCTACTACACAAAGCTCTGGGTCAGTCGGGCTAGGGATGGGGATGGGCCCAGCCAGTCAGAATGGTCACCTGTAGATGTGAGCCCAGTGGCCTCTAGCAACATGTGAAGAAGACTGCTGGAGGCAGCTCTGTCAATGGGGCAAGGAGTCTGGGGAGGGGGGAAAGACCAAGAAAGCAGAGACGGGACAGGCAGGACGAAGACGGACATGCCTGGGATGGAGCTGGATCAGCTTTCAGGGTTAAAAGGAAGCTGGGTTGGGATCTGCACCTTGGATGCCAGGATTTTCTGACAGTTTTCATTTAGTTATATACAGACCATTCCTCACCCAAAAACCTGTTGCCATCAAGTTGATTCCGACTCATAGCAACCATATAGGACAGAGTAGAACTGCCCCATAGGGTTTCCAAGGAGCAGGTGTTGGATTTGAACTGCAGACCTTTAGGTTAGCAGCCGAGCTCTCAACCACTGCACCACCAGGGCTTCTATTTATTCAACAAACAAACCTGCGTACTTGCCATGGTCAGGGCCCTGTGGGGGATACAGAATGGAATCAGATAGCATCCTGCCCTCAGGGAACTAACATTCTCTTATAGAGATGGCTTATTGCAGGCATTCTTGCCACCATTCTCCCTTCCCATGCACATGACAGACATCACTAATCAGTCACAGCACTCATATATTTTCAACACAGCTTTAAGCAACCACTACCAATCAGTCAAGGAGCCCTGATGGCACACTGGTTAAGAGCTCAGCTGCTAACTGGAATTTGGCAATTCAAACCCACCCAGCAGCTCTGCAGGAGGAAGACCTGGCAGTCTGCTCCTACAAAGATTATAGCAGTTCTAGTCTGTCACATGGGGTCACTATGAGTCGAAATTGACTCCACAGCACCTAACAACAACAACAACCAATCAGAGTTGGCATGAGAGAAGAAACCTGTTCGCCATTTACATGGTAGTATGGAGGGAAGAGACAGGTTTTAGGGTCAGATAGACCTTGGATCAAATTCTAGCTCTGCCACTTACTAGCTGCATGTCCTTGGCCAAGTGATGTAACCTGTTTGAGTCTCAGTTTCTTCATCTGAAAAAAGGGGATAACGAAATACTGGCCTCACAGAGTGGTTGTGAGGATTGATTGAGATAATTCATATGAAGTACTTAGCTCAGTGCAGTGGATACCACTAGTAGCAATGGTGTTCCCCAAAGGTGGAAGTTGCAGTGAGGCACATTCTAAACAATTTGTTTTCCTAAGGGATGGGTTTCATGGAGCCTGCCAAGTAGGAGCTGCAGAACCCAGCCAGTGGATAGAGCTTCCAAATAGCCCCTTTCTCCAGAAGGGCTGTGGCCAGTGCAGAAAGATTCTTCCCCAAGCCTCTCTCACTCCAAATTTATTATATAAAGATCCAAAGCAATAAAGATCTATCTCCTCTCCTGAGTTACCCTCTTATTGAAAGCATAAGCAACCAGCTGGAGAACAAAAACAGTTTGCCTTAGCAGACCTTGTACAGAAGACCCACTGTGTGCCAGGCATCGTGGAGGTGCTGTGATGCTCACCTGGAGAATGGCTTATCTCCTCATCCAGATGACTGCTCCTCATGGGCAGAACGGTGGTCCCACCCAGGCAGGACGGCGGCCTCTGTGGCATCTCCCAGGATGAGGGTATAAGACTGGGCTTGCAGTAGTAACTGATCCATCACTTCATTAAGCCAATGAGGACTTACTGAGACCCTCTGTGGGCACCACCTTCCTAGGGGCATATTCAGGAATAAGATACAAGGTCCCTGCCTGGCCATTTATTCAACAAACATATCTTGAGCATTTGTATGTGCCACAGACTATATGAGGCTGTGGGGACACAGAAATGAAGAAATACCATTTTTGCCCTTAGAAAACTCAATCTGCTAGGGGAAATTAGAAACAAACATCAAATTTTATCTGGTTTATCCATGCAAACCTTTCACACACAAAAACATACTCTTCCACAAAAAAAATAGCAAACCAAAAAAAAAAAGAGATGGAGAGGGAAACTGAGGCTCAGAGGGGTTACATCACTTTTAACCTGTGGGTTAAAAGCAATTTATGAAACATTCAATCAGTCACCACGTGTGGACTTTATGTTGATCTTGATTCAAAAGAACAAACCATTAAAATTATTATGACATTTATATTTAAGAGATAATTGGAAATGTGAACACAAATTGAAGTTTTTGACGATATTAAGAAATTACTGTTAATGCAGAATAGAATTTCAAATTCCCATGGAATGCAGACTTTCTGGAGCCATTGAGGCTGGCTGAACCCTCAAAACGATTGCCCTGAGATAACCTTTAAACCTTAAGCCAAAACTATCCCCTGAGGTGCTCTTCAAACCAAACAATAGTTTAGCTGAAGTAGTAGATAATGTCTGCCTTGAGCATTGTGGGCTTTTAAAGAACTATCTATACGGGATCAAAGTGAGGATAGCAACTGGAAAGGTTAGATAGGAGGCTTAGGGGGCAGTGAGTTTGTTAATGGAGGAGGAAAAATTCAGAAAAGGAGAAAGAATGGTTGCACAACTTGAAGAATGTAATCAGTGTTACTGACTTATACATGTAGACATTGTTGAATTGGTGTGTTTTGCTGTGTATATTTCCAACAACCAAAATAAATTATTAAAAAATTAATAGCAAAAAGAAATTATCTTTAAACTTCTTAGGTGTGATAAAGGTGCTGTAATTCTGTTTTTAAGAAAGAGAGTTCTGATCTTGCAGAGATACATACTGAAAAATGTACCAATTTTCCGTTTTCTATGGAAAAATGGGTGTCAAGGACTTGATTCAAAATAATACAGGAGTGGGAGAGCGAGTGGGAATATAGTTGGAACAAGACTGGCCGTGAGTTCATAATTGATGAGAACATGGAGTTTCATTATAACATTCCGTCTACTATTATATAAGTTTAACTTTCACATAATAAATTTAAAAAACATTTCACATTAAAAAAAAAATGATTTAACAAAACAAGTTAAATTAGGCAGGAAAGGCAGCATGATGTGTTCAAAAGAACAAAGGATTTGATGTCAAACAGCCATGGGTTTGAATCTCACCTCACCTACTTAACTAGCTGGAAGGGACTTAACGTCTCTGAGCCTCAGTTTCCCAGTGTTTTTAATGGGGTAATGATAATAGGCAAACCTGTGTGGTTGGAGAGATTTGACGAGGTGGCATATGGGGCCCTGTGCTAGGCCGGCACATGGCAGAGAGGATCAGCACCTGGAATGTGAAATTAAAACTCTTAATACCTGTTAGCCAGACCTGACCCTAGAGGGCCTCTCTCTTTCAGCTGGTGTCCCAGGTGAGGAGCCCAAGTGCAACATCTGCCTGGGGAAGACGTCAGGGCCATTGAATGAGATCCTCATTTGTGGCAAATGTGGCCTGGGTGAGTGGAATGAGCAGGGCACTGAGAAGACCCTGACCTGTGGGCTCCCCACTGGCCCCTCATGGGTACTGCTCCAGGCTCCTGGGGCCTCAGCTGGTTTCATATTCCAGGGTGACGGGTCCAGTCTCTGGGAGTGAGGGCCCAGGGAAGTGACCCTTAAGGAGAGCGGGGGCTCTGGAAAGTAAAACGGGGTATGCAGTTTGGAGCCCCCCTGGGTGGAGAGCATGGGTGGGAGACACCGGCTGAAGCCCTGAAGCCAGACCTTGGTGTCTCCTACACTGGGGCAAATGTTTTTTTTTTTATTAAATCCCCTGCCTGGACACCAGCTTGGTCATCTTGGTGGGCATTGTCAACCATTCCCCCAGCAGCTGGCAGGCACAGAATTTGTAGCACTTGCCGTAGCCCTCTCCAGCCCTGCCACCTTTGGGCTGAATAACCTTGGGCCACTGCTTCCTTGTGGGTACTCACCACCCCCTCCTCTGCCATAGGTTACCACCAGCAGTGCCATATCCCCATAGCAGGCAGTGCTGACCAGCCCCTGCTCACACCTTGGTTCTGCCGACGCTGCATCTTCGCACTGGCTGTGCGGGTGAGCTCTCCCCACTCCTCCAGTTAGAAAACCCAGAGCCTCCCTGGGCTCAGGCCTGACTCTCCATCACAGAGGCTGAGCTCCAAGCAGAAGGGCCACACCTGGGCTTTGGAGGCCTCTGTCATGTATCAGCTGTATGTGCCGGGTTACTTAAGCCTCCTGAGTCTCCCTGAGCCTCAGTTTCCTCAGCTGTAAAATGGAAATAGGTTTGGTGTCAGGAATAGGAGGCCTCCAGTAAATGGTAACCAGTTACCTTCCTGTTGATTCCAACTAATGGTGACCATGTGTGTCAAGAGTAGAATTGTGCTCTTAGGGTATCCAGTGGCTGCTTTTTTGGAAGTCAAATCACCAGGCCTAGAATCCGAGGCACTTCTGGTAAACTCCACCGTGCAACCTTTTGGTTAACAGCTAAGTGCATTAACCATTTGCACCACCCAGGGACTTCTCCAGTAAATGGTGCTTTATTATTAAAAGAGAAACTCCATGTAAGTGTTCACATCCACTACATAATGAAAGTTATTGTTGCTTTTGTTGTGCTTATTACTATTAATACCATTAGTAATGGAGATCCTTTTGGGATAGCGATTTGGGATTGGTGAGAAAAAGCTCTTTGCATTTCTCAACTATATGGGAAAATCAGTGGGTCTCTCCAAACCCTGCTCATCACGTGCTGACACCTGTGGCCCAACTGGAAGCCCACGGGTGACTCGAGCCCTCATCGCCCCCAGAAAGGCGGCGCGCTGAAGAAGGGCGCCATCGCCAGGACGCTGCAGGCCGTGAAGATGGTGCTGTCTTACCAGCCAGAGGAGCTCGAGTGGGACTCGCCGCATCGTACTAACCAGCAGCAATGCTACTGCTACTGCGGTGGGCCCGGAGAGTAAGGCCATGGAGGCGGGGTCTTGGGGGCGGGCCCGGATGGTCGGACCCCGGGGGCGGGACCCTGGGGGCGGGGCCTCGGGAGACGGGCCCAGAGGGTAAGACCGCGGGGCGGGGCCTCGATGGCGGGGCACAGAGGGTCAGACTGCGGGGGAGGGGTACTGTGGTGGCCGCGAGGGTGAGACCGCTGGGACGGGGTCCCCCAGGGACGTGGGGCAGCTCCGGGAGCATCAGCCTACGGGGCAGACCCGACAAGGGTGTTCGCAGAGAGCCAGTCCGCGGGGCTGGCTCAAGGGGTGGGTCCGAGTCAGTACGCCGGAGACAGGACGCGGAGGGGGCGGGGCAACGGAGGTGGGACCAGAAAGGGAGGAACCTCGAGGCCTGGCCAAATGTGGGCGGAGCTCGCGCTGTCAGGCAGTGGGGGACAGAGGGCAGAGATGTTTACTTGGGGCCCCGGAGAGAAACGAACAAGTACTGAAGTGTGGTTAAGAGCCTGGGCTTGAGTGTCCAGTTCCTTCCAAGATGTCCAATCCTGGCTCTGCCCCATACCAGCTGTCCAACCATGAGCTAGTTAATTTCCCTGAGCGTCAGTTCTGATAGTTTCCTTGTCATATGGTGGTTTTGAGCATGAGTTAGAGAATTCGTGTAAAGTCTCACAATGCCTGGCACATGGTAAGCATTTAATAGTTGCGAGCTGTTACTGGTGGTGGTGGCACTAATGTATGGAAGATAAACCTTTTCACTGTCAGAGGCAGTGAAACAGGCTACCTGGTGAGATATTAAGATCCTTTTCCCTGGAGGTGTGCAAGCAGGAGCTGGGGGGCATCCCTTGGGGATGCTGTGAAAGGGGATTCTTGCTCTGGCTAGGGGGAAAGAGTCTTTGATTCCATGGAGATAGATAAGCCATAGGCAATTGAGCCTGCTCCCTTGGGCTGGCGGACCTCTGTACCAGGCACTGTGGGAGGAACCACGGAAGTAAGAGATGGGATCTCTGCCCTCAGGACACTTAGTCCTCAAGACCCTCGGTCTTGAATGTCAGCCCCAAGCCCTGTTTATGAGAGGTAGGGGTCTGCAGGCTGTGCTTACAGCGCAGCTCCTGCTGGGCAAAGGGTAATTACTCTGGCCCACAAGCCTGGGAGGCAGGGGTTGGGAGGCCTAGGGGATAACAGATGGAAAAATGTTTGTGGAAACCTTCACAGCAATAAGGCAGTGTTCTCAAAGCTTAGAGGGTAGATTAAAAATGATTGTTAAAATGCATCTCCCAGGGACTCATCCAAAAAGAGTAGGTCTAGGTTGGGCCACGGAATCCGCATTTTAACCGAGCCCTCACCCCCACCCCCAGGTGATTCTGATGCAGGTGTCAAGTGGAGCACACCTGTCAAGGTGTGAACAAAGTATTGATTGTTATTAAGAAATTGCCTTTTTTCTTCATGAATATTCAGTGAATTGTTGTTGAATGGCATAATAGGGTAGGCACAGTACCAGGTGAAAAAACCAGGCGTGGTTCCTACCCCCATGGAGTTTACAGGAACCATTATTCTCCCGTGAAATCTCCTGAGCAAATGTTTCCCTGTTACTGGTGTTTGGGAAGTAATGCAATTCAGAAATGGGGGCTCCAGTGTGGCATGGTGGGGAAGAGCATGGGTTTTGAAGTTAGGGAGACCAGGATTTTAATCACCAACCACTCCTTATTTTCTGAGTGACTTTGAGCACGTGGTTTAAGTGCTGATTCATCTGTAAAATGAGGGCAGTGGCTCGTCTTTTGGAGCCCTGGTGGCACAGTGGCTAAGAGCTTGGCTGCTAACCAAAGGTTGGCAGTTGGAATCCGCCAGCTGCTCCCTGGAAACCCCATGAGCAGTTCTGCTCTGTCCTATAGGGTCGCTGTGAGTTTGAGTTTGGCCCATCTTTTACCAGATGGTGAGATCAAATGAGATAGCATATTCCCTGCTCCCAGCACCTCCGCTGGCATAGCCTGAGTGCGTGGTAAATGTGAGTTCTTTTCCTTTTCCCTCAGTGGAGGACAAGTTTATGTTGGGAAAGGTCCCTGAGGCTCAAGCCAGGCTGGGAGCACTTGAGTGGCCTGACGTGGGCTCCTGTCTCTCTAGATGGTATCTGCGGATGCTGCAATGTTATCGGTGCAGACAGTGGTTCCATGAGGCCTGCACGCAGTGCCTTAATGAGCCCATGATGTTCGGAGACCGGTAGGTACTGGTACTTATCTGAGCGAGCTCAGTCTTGGAGGGAGGTCCTGGTGGGGAGTGGCAACAGCAGCTCCTTCATGTTGCTTGCCAGGTGGGCGTCTTTGTTACTGTGCACCTGTCTGTGGGGCAGCTCAGGGTAGGGGAGGCCCCAGATAGGCTGGGCCAGGAGGTAGTAGAGGAACAAATTAGACCACAGCTGCACTTGTCATTGACTTGTGGGGGACCTTAGACAAGCCCCTGTCTTCCCTAAGCCTCAGTCTCTTCAAGTGTCTGTGGGGCTAGGGGTGGGGTGACACAGGCCCTGCCCTGTCCCTGCCCAGGGTTGTTGTAGGAGCCAAGCCTGTGTGACATTTGGTATGTGTGACATTTGGTGTCCCGTCTTGTGATTGTGTGGGTGTGTGTGTCTGACGGGAAGAGGGTGACCTCTGCAGGCCAGCCTAGCTCAGCTCACTCTCTCTGAACTCAGCCACACTCCAGGGTTTTAGTGAGGGGGTTGGAGATAGGAGAGTATTTCTTGATCCCTGTCTTGCTCCATCTTTGCCCCGCTCCCTGCCCCTCTCCAGGGCTACCAGCCCCAGGAGCGAGAATGCTGACTGTGGGAAGGCAGGTGGGGAGTGAGGGGTTAGAGGGCTGTCAGAGCCCCTCCCACCACAGGCCCCCTCTCTGCACACCCACAGGTTCTACCTGTTCTTCTGCTCCGTGTGTAACCAGGGCCCAGAGTACATCGAGAGGCTGCCCTTGCGATGGTGAGAGGGTGGGGCTTGGCCAAGGCCCACCCCTGCCCCCCTCCCAGTTCCTCCCTTCCCTCTTCCCTCTGGGAATGATTCTGTTCCAGCCACCTGGCCCCAGCCTTGTCCTGCCCCTCAGCTGGGACCCAGGAGGCTCCAGCGCTGGCTGTCAGGCTGCTGCCTCACCCCACCCACCTCCTTGCCCTCATGCCCAGGGTGGACGTGGTTCACCTGGCCCTCTACAACCTGGGGGTGCAGAGCAAGAAAAAGTACTTTGACTTTGAAGAGATTCTGGCCTTTGTCAACCACCACTGGGAGCTTCTGCAGCTTGGCAAGGTATGCAGGGGCTGTGGGGCATCAGCATGGCACAAGTGAGGTGACTGAAGTCCATAGGCACAGAGGGTTGCCCAGGGTCACACAGTGTATGACTAGGATCCAGAACCAGGTAGCCCTTGCCTTTGAGCTGCTGCATCCCTGAGCCCAGGCCTCTGAACCTGCGCCCTGCGAGGGGCTTCGTAAGTCCAGCTTTTGGCAGTGGACAGGGTAGGGCTTCACCGACTCAGCTGCAGGGAGCCGGGGCCCTGGACAGAGTCTGGCTGGAGCAGGGCTCTGCTGAGATGTTTGACCCACTCTGGATTACCTGGCTAGGATGGAAATTGAGGTGGGCCTGCCCCCTACTGGTCCTACTCTGAATAGCAGATGTGGGTCACCAGGGGCCTGGGAGCTGCAGATCCGTGGAGTGAGTGAAGTAACAAACCAGAGGCTTTGAGGATGCCACAGATGGAAAGTGACTTGCCTGTCATCAGGCACAAGGCACAGCTTTGGAGCTCAGCAGGAGCTGGAGCCATGACCTCCCCAGTTGCTTCCAAGGTGGGGCCATGTCCCCTCTTCCTGATGACACCCTTAGAATCCTCTCCACAACATCCAGAGTGAGCATCCTCTCTACTGACTGCCCCACATCCTCCTTTGAATGATACAGGACTGAAAAAAAAAAGTAACCTTTGTACTTTGCAAAGGGTTTTCATATAATAATAATTGTCATTTATAGTGTTTAATAATTTATTTTTAAAAAATTCATAACAGAGCTAGTATTTTTTTTTTAAATGACATTTTTTCAGATGATAAAAAAATGATTCATGTTCCTGGAAGAAGAATTTTAAAGCACCAAAAAGCACGAGGGAGTATACCAAAAAAAAAAAAAAATCATTCATATTCCCACCACCCAGAAACAACTATTACTGTAGAGATGCATTTCCTTCTGGCCTCTCTTCTGTGCATATTTTTCCTGTGTATGTGGTTTATATTATACTGTATGTATGATTTTAAATCGTCTTTCAGTTTACATTATAAATATTTTTCCGTATTATTAGAGTCTTCATAAATGTTTTATGGCCACATTTCTTTCCACCCGTTTGTTTCCTTACTGGTGGGCTTTCCCACCGGCTTCTTTCTCATTTGTTCACCATTAGAAACAATGCTGCAGTGAACATCTTTGTATGTAAAGCTTTGTTCACAATTTGTATTATATCTGTACAGTAGATTCCACGGACTAGTGGTACTAGGTCAAAGTATGGGCATTTTTAATTAAAGCTCCTGATACATTTAAGACAGGAGTTATTCTTCCCATTTGCAGATGGAGAAACAAGTTCAGAGAGGTGAAAAGACTTGTCTGAGGTCATAGAATAAGTCAATGGTCCTCACCTGCAGGACTCAGGAGCATCTGGAGATTGAAGGGAGGGAGGGGCTGGGGCTGGGGCCACCTCAGATGCTATGTGCCTGGGTCTGACTCTGTCCTGCTGGCTTGCTCCCCCTTAGCTGACCAGCACCCCTGTGACGGATCGAGGACCTCATCTTCTCAATGCTCTGAACAGTTACAAAAGCCGGTGCGTGCAGGGAGGGGAGGGAGCTCCACGGGCCCCCCAACAGGTGGAATTTCAGTCTAAAGGTTCTTATCTCAAAGCCTTTGCCCAAGCTGTGCTCCCTCCCTGTAGTCCGCGCACCCCCCCACCCCCCGCTTTGTTTATATAAATCCTTCTCACTCTTCAAGATCCAGGGAGCATTCCACCTCCTTTGCAAAGCCTCCCTTGACCTTCCCAGCAGCCTGACACATCGTGATACCGGCTTCAGTTCCATAAGAGGCTGTACCCCCTGATCTCTGGGGATCCCTTCTTCTCCAGCCATCTTTGGTTCTGGGCTGGGCACTGAGGAATCGATTCATCTCTAGTTGGGCTGCAGCCTCCTTGCTCGTCCCTCAGTCTGTCTCTTTTGAGTTCTTCTCAGAACACGCAGCTGACCACCTCTCTCACTCCCACCACAAGGGAATGGCCAGCCTCCTTAGTCTGGCATTCAAGGCCCTTTATGATCAGATCTGCCCACCTCTTCTGCCATTGCCCCTTTGCTTTATTTGTCCTGGGTGCCACCTATACTGAACCCCTTGCTTTCCCATCTTAGTGCTTTTGAACATGCTGTTTGTTCTGCCTAGGATGCTCTTCAGTTCCTTTAATTCACTCATTGCATCAACAAATATTTATTGAATTGCTGCTCTGTGTTAGGCCCTGTGCTAGGTGCTGAGAACACAGCAGGGAATAAGACAAGGTCCTTGGTTCTATGAAATCGTTTTAGACATCCCTAGACATAATTAATCACCCTGTCTCCTACTTTCCCATGGTTTGGGGCCCAGACATAGCCCTACTTTTGAGTACATCAGGCCAACTAGCTTCCCAATGGATTGTGAGTCCCCTAAGGGTAGGGTTATGTCTGGGTCACCTCTGCAGCCCCACTTGGTAGCTCAGCCAGTACTGGAAGGCTGAATAAAGTGCCTGGAGTGCTTTCAGTCCTCTTGGGGAGACCAGAGACCAGAATGGTGTAGAATCCAGTGTCTTGACCATAGGAGTTCCACTGTGAGCTGGAGGAGGTCTTCCTGTAGGAGGTGGGAGAGGAGCAACAAGAACCACACACTTGCAGGAAGAAGGACAGGCAGGAGCTGCCAGCCACACTCTCAGCCACCATCTGAAACTCCTGATCCCTTTGGCTTTAAGGAATCAGAGTCTCCAGAGGCCACTTTGGATTTTAGCTCTGGGTCCAGGAAGCCAGAGAGGGTGGTTTAATGCTTGACCCCGCCCACCAAGAAGATGACCAACAGACTCCAGAGCTTTCTCCTTCCTCTGCCCACCCCCCAGGTTTCTCTGCGGCAAGGAGATCAAGAAGAAGAAGTGCATCTTCCGCCTACGCGTCCGTGTTCCTCCCAACCCGCCAGGGAAATTGCTGCCTGACAAGGGGCTGGTGCCCAGTGAGAATGGCGCCTCCTCTGAGCTGCAAAAGAGAGGAAAGAGCAAGTCGAGGTCAGTTCCCAGGAACCCAGGGGCAAGGGCCTCAGCTGAACTCTCTGCTCCTAGCTCCCAGCCCCAGGGGTGGCCTGTGTGGTGGGCCCAGAGAGTATGGTGGTATCTAAGTAAGTAAGGAGGGCCTACACCCAGCTAGTCCCAGCTGGAGGTATCCTGAGAGGGCCAGGTAGTGGCTGAGCCGGGACTTGATCCCAGACTCCTACCACAGTCCCCTTGTTGCCTACCTCAGAGGGAAAGCCAGATTATGGGATCCAGCCTTGCTAGACTAGAGGGATCAGAGATGAAGGGAAAATCAGAGTGTGTAAGGGGTCCCTAGCTCTTCTGGCTGAGCTGAGCACCCTCATCCTGGGTGTGGGGGGCAGGGCATCCGGACATATGTGCCTGGGGGGCACTTTCTTCCTTTCTGCCCACCACGCCCTCCTCCACACTTTCCCACACCTGCTGCCCCAGAGGATCCCCCCCACAAATCTCCTTGTGAAGGTGCTGTTGTTGTCAGATCCCAACCTCACCCCACAGCTGTGACCCCAGCCCTGCCCCTGCTGCTCCCGAGGCTCCTCCATGCCCCCACCAGCACGCTGTGACTGGGCCACCCTCTCCCTTTTCTGTCTCCACAGTTTGTTGCCTCACGAATTCCAGCAGCAGAAAAGGCGAGTTTATAGAAGAAAAAGATCAAAGTTTTTGCTGGAAGATGCTATTCCCAGTGTTAGTTTCCTGTTTTCTTACTCTCCACCTTCAGCCGGCAGGATCAGCACTTATTAGGGATTCCTGTGCCAAGAACTAACTCCCCCAGCCTCAGGGGATTCTCCAACATCCCTTAAAGGAGAAGCCAGCTCCTAGTACAGCAAAATAAGGGAAAGCCAGGCGCTTTGCAAGTTCTCCCAAGAACCCAGAGGGGTGGGCACGGGCAGGTACTATCGTTGACTCCACTGTCCAGATGTGGAAACTAAGGGTCAGGGAGGGGCAGTGACTTTGCTCAGGTCACACATCAAGGCAGTGGCCTAACAGCCTAGAACCCTAGAGCCCCAAATACTCTCTTCATTAACTTCCATCTTTATTGGACCCATCCCCCTGGGCAATAAAATTAACACTGCCTCCCATCTACCCAGCACTTTAGAGGGTACTTTTACCACCATTTGTTAACTTTACTGTGCTTTTGCCACCTCTAAGAGTGAAGCAGGACAGGGGTTATTGTCCCGTTTTGTGGCTGAGGAAACTGAGGTCCAGAGAGGTGCAGGTTATACAGATACTAGAGACAGCCAGGACTAACCAGGGTGACTTGGCTCCCTGGTCAATACTTGGTATGAGGAGGAAGTGACAAGTCTCCTTACCGTAGGGAGAGGCCAGCCCTTGGCAGTCCTGCTGGACCAGCAGGCAGGCCGTGTGGCCTTCAGCTGGGGAGAAGGTGTGCTTGCGGGAGGTTAGTTTGATGCTCACTGCCTGATCCCCTTCCCCCCACCCCTCTGTCCACAGAGCGACTTCACCTCAGCCTGGAGCACCAACCACCACCTGGCCAGCATATTTGACTTCACACTGGACGAAATTCAGAGTTTAAAAAGGTAACAGTGAGGGATCCAGAGGAGAGGTCTGTTCTAGGAACTGAGATGGGACAAAGCAGGGAGGCCACCTCCATTCCCCCAAGAGTGAGGGACGACTCTCTAAGGGGTAAAGCAGAAAAGCTTCTGAGAGAGTGGGAGCTCCCTCAGGATCATTTTGAAATCCCCAGTGAAAATGGTCCTTATTGCAGGGGGCTGCCTTGAAGGGTCCTTCTACACAAGAGCTTTCAGCACAATGCACTCTGGCTCCCCAGTGTACTGGCCCTCCTTACCTCTGATTCCTTTTCCTGCCTCTCCCTTATGCCGAAATTGCTGTGGTTACCTCCACACTCTTTGCAATTTTGATGTCTCTCCACCTTTGCTCTTGTTCTTTCTTCTGCCTGGAACACCTTTGCTCTGCCTCCCCATTTGAAAACTCGAGACCCTGCTTCCTCTAGGAAGCATTCGATAACCCTCCTCAGGCTACTCTGGATGCATTCTTGTGTATTCCCCAGCACCCTGTGCTTACCACATTTTAGCATGATAATGTAATGATGCCATCTCCCCTGTGCACTGTGAACACCCAAAGGGAAGGACTGGTCTGCCATCTTATTCCCCAAATTAAAGGTCATCCAGTGCTTTCCTGTGGGCATAGAGGAAAGAGCAAGGGCTATGGAGTCAGACCTGGGCTCCAGCCCTGTTTACCAGGTACTAGCTGTGTGACCTTAGCTAAATTCTTGAACCCCTCTGAACCTCTTTTCTTTTCGCATGGTTATGAGGCTCAAGATAACCGCAGATGAAAGCACTTTTGATCTGTAAAGTGTTGCACAAGTGCCTGGGATTGTGCTTATTATCATCTTTAATTATTGTCACCAATGTTCAGGGAAGGCTTTCCTAACTTCTTGGACTTTGAAGGCTGGATGTATAGAAAATAGACAGGCAGGGAGGAGGCAACTGCAGGTGTGATGGTGGGAAGGATTTCAGTAGTGGAGAGACAGGCCTCCTCTGGGATGAAGGATGCATATCAGAGGGGTGGGGAGATGGCTGGAGAAGTCCCAAGGGCCCCTGAGAGTCAAGTTTGTAGGACCTTGCTAGGCCGAGTGATCGGCAAGCTCACCCTCTCCCTTCTCAGCGCCAGCTCAGGCCAGACCTTCTCAGACGTGGACTCCACGGATGCTGCCAGCACCTCTGGCTCTGCCTCTACCAGCCTCTCCTATGACTCCAGGTGAGCTTCCTGGGGGCCTGGCCTTGTTTTGCAGATTCCATCATTCCCCCTAGTCCCTGCTCCTCCCACTTCTCCAACAATGTGGTTCATCTGCACATCTGAGTCTTGGGATGGAGGTCCTGGCCTTCTGGGACCCTGGCTGATTGTGTGAGCCTGGCTCTGGGACCCTCTGGTTCTAATCACTGGGGCTTGGATGGGGGCTGAATATGAGCATTCAGGGTGCTGTGGTTTCATCCCTTTGGAATGCTGCAGTAGATCGTGTGACACTTCTTGCTGGGCAATTCCATTTCCAGGGTTGTTTGACCAGAGGTTCTTTCTTTCTGGGGCTCTTGGCCTGTATGTCATGATTTTGCATGTCTGTGCCTCTCTGACTGCAGATTCCCTTGACCTTGGTTCTTGGCTGTCTGAATCTGGTGTCTTTCAGGGCTCTAAGGGAGCCATTTATTCAGAGGCTTGATGGAGGGAGAGATGGCATCCTGCAGAGAGAGCATCTGGGAGAGGGGACTTCTAGAAATCCCTGGGGACCTAGCTGAGGGCATGTGTTTGGCAGTCGTTGGTGCTCAGCAGCATAGGGAGGGTGGATGCTGCAAAGCAAACACAAAATTTCTTATGGACTTGGAGTCTCCTTTAACTGTACTTGAGAATACTTGAGGCTGTTGCAAAAGTAGAATTAAAATCATAATGCCTATAGAGGTGTGTCTTGGAGACTGTTTCAAAACATCTCTAAGTGACTTTCTCATTTGTGTTTCTTTGGTTCTCACTAACTCTTCCGGTGCAGCTTCTAAGCATCTGTGAATGTGTACCTCTTGTGTGTCCACTTCTCTAGCCCCTCCGCCTCTTTGTCCTGTGTATGTGCACACGTGTCTGTCTCTCCAGTCGAATGCAGACTCTGGGGTACAATGTACTTTAGTCCCTAACTCCCTTCCCCACCCTTATTTGACTCCTTTAGCTACAGATGAGTCCAGCTGAGGGACAAGGCAGTATAAGCAGAGCTGCTGCATTGCACAGCTTCAGGCAACACAAAGAGTAGGGCCCCTAGATTTAGGCAGTGCTGAGGCCCTGAATATAAACAGCATGTGCTTTATAGCTGAGCACACCTTGGTTTGAACCCTGGCTCTCCCAACTCCCCAGCTGGTTATTTCTCCTGTCCAGCCTGTTTCCCTCCTCCCAAGGCTTTTGTGAGGATCCAGTGAGATAATCCATGCCCAGGGCCTGGTACCTAGGATAGTGCTCAGGGAGAGGAACTCAGTGTTATGATTATCCTATCTCATTCCCACCATCTTCCTCTCCCCCCTCTTGACATAGACGGACAGTGGGCAGTCGCAAGAGGAAGCTGGCAGCCAAAGTGTACATGCCGCTGCGGGCAAAGCGGCGAGCGGCTGAGCTGGGTGGGCGCTGCCCCTCAGACAGCAGTGCAGAGGGGGCTTCAGGCCCTGAGCGGCCCGACGAAGGCATCGACAGCCACACGTTTGAGAGCATCAGTGAAGATGACTCGTCCTTGTCCCACCTCAAATCATCCATCACCAACTACTTTGGCGCAGCTGGGCGGTTGGCCTGTGGGGAGAAGTACCAGGTGTTGGCTCGGAGGGTCACGCCAGAGGGCAAGGTTCAGTACCTGGTGGAGTGGGAGGGGACCACCCCTTACTGACAAGCCCTCAGGGAGCCCAGGAAACCAAAGGAGGGATAGCAGAAGCCACAGCCTCCCCATTTGTCTCCAGGCTGGGGTGGGGAGGGAAGCAGGACCAGGCTGCAAGTGTCTGGCTAAAGGCCCAGCCTGCCTGCCAGAGGCCCTGCCCAAGCCTAGGCCTTTGCCGCCTCTGCTGTGCTCATTCTGCTCTTGGGCCTTTTCAGGCTCATTACCCCTCTGCCTGTCTCTAAGGTCCCACTGGCTATTTCTCAGTGTCACCACATCCCAACTCCAGCCCCTCAAACTCCTGTATCTGTACCTCTGAATCTGTGCCCCTCCGGCTCTGTGACCCTGTCTCCTGAGGCCTGAATCTCTTTGTCCCTTCACCTCTCACCCCCTTTGGATATGTAATATGTGTTTACACACCCTATATGTGCACATCTGTCCCTCCACTGGATGCCCGTCACAGCTGACCCATGGGGCAGCCAGTCCTCCCCAGGGCCACATTATGAGAATGGGTGAAGGGGATAAGAGGATGCCTCTCAGCTTTTCTCTCCCACTTTCCTGCCATTCCCCCCTTCCCTCTGGGAAACCCTGTGTGGCAGAGACCCTGGGATGCTAAGGATCTGAGGAGTGAAAAGGCTGGGTCTTTGCTTCAGAAGACACCAGCACCAGGGCCCAATAATTAAGGCTGAAAGTGAAGACTACAGGTGTCAGCTTCTTAGGTCACAGTTTCCTTCCCCTGACCCCACCCTATTAGTTGCCTTGGAGCTGGGCCTGGCCTTGTTGCTGGAATGAAGGCATCCTTGAAACCTGAGCAACAGGTGGGGAGGGAGAGGGAAGCAGGAGGAAAGGAAGCCACGTCATGCCAAAATGCTGTTTCCTGTTACCCCTCCAGACCCCATCACACATATAGCCAAATACACATACACATTCACTCACACAAGCTTGCATCCACATGTGCTTTCATCCTCCAGGCACACACCTCCACACAACCAGACACCCTATATCCAGGCACACACACTCAGCCCCCACCCTCCAGATGTGTACACACGCACCTACACATTCCCTCCAGTGCCCTGCCAGTCTGGCTCCTGCCCTTGGCTTTCCTTTGGCCTTCTTCCAAGGGCTATGTGCTGCAACTAAATGTGAAAGCCCAGTTCCTGGCCCTGTCTTTCAGCCCGTGAACCAGCTTTGGCCCCATAGGTAAGCACAGGGTTCTCATACCCTCTTCCATGTCCCCTGCCCCATCCTAAAATTGACAATCACTTTTGGGTGGGATAGGTTGGAATTTTTAAAGGGCCTGCATCATTCAGTCCCCTCAAAGGGAAGCCTTTGTCAGTGGGAGTATAAATAGAATTCTTAGAATTGACAAACTTGGTCCCATGTGGGGGAAAACCAAAAATGGGAAGGGAGGAAGGGACCCCTCATTTTTGCTGCTTCCAGAGATGTTAGAAACTGACTCACTTGATCGGAAAATGGAAAAGAAGTGCCTTGAATGGGTGGCGGGGCGGGGGGGGCACCAGATAGGGACCAGCCTTGCCAACTGCTGCTGTGGCTTCCAGCTTGGCTGGGGCCTGCAGGCTGCCAGCTGGAAGGCGAAGGTGGATGGAGCAGCGGGAGGAGTGATGACAGCAGTGGCAGCAGGCTTGAGGAGCTGGTTTTTCCGTTATTAGGCCTGATCCCCCCTCCCTCCCTTAGGGGGTCCCTGAGATAGTTCAGATGCCCCCTGCCTCAAACCTCAGCTCCTTCAGTGCCTTTCAAATGGGATCTCATCTCCTGTGCACAGCCTAGCACCTCCCTCTGCTTCCCTGGCATGGCCCAGGCAGGGATGAGCTGGGGTTGGACACAGTTCAACCCCTTCTCAGCCCCACAGCTGCTGCCACTCAGGCCCAGCAGGGGTGTGGGACCTGGGATCCAATCTGGCTTTCTGTCTGGCTTCAGAGAGCACAGCAACTTCCCAGGCCTGCTTTCCAGGCTTCTGAGAAAGCACAGGATGAGCAAGGTCTGTTACAGTGCATCTGCACCTTCCCTACTTAGGCTCCAGACTCTGGGCTTGAAGAAAGGGGTGTCTTCCCCACTTGGGAAGTCAGCACAAGGCCTAGCAAGGTCACTCTGACTCCCCACCTCAGCATTTCATTCATACCAGATTTAAGAGCTGCATTACTGCCCATTGATCTTAAAGTAACCCTGTGCACCTTCTAAAAGATTTATGGTTTGAGTTGCTGCTTTTAATAACATTTGTTATATTAAAGTTATAATTAATGTGTCTGATGTACAATTTAAAATTTCTTTGAAAAACTGCCTACCTTCACCCTAGTGAGTTATCAGCTGCTGGATAACAGGAGATGTTGGCTTTGGTTTCTGCTCTTGGTTTCTTGGCAGTAAAGGAGGAGTGGCGGCACCACATCCTCTTTCTGGCCATCATCTCAGGCCCACCACATTCTCAGCAATACTCTCACCCTTACCACCAGAGAGGATGTGGAAATTTTTTCTATTGTATCTTACCCATGGAGGCAAAAAACATGGGCTGAGGGCCACAGAGAGGCAAAAGATGGGAAATGAACTTAGAAACTGACCCTACTAAAATACTTAAGTACAGACACTATACAGCTTTACTCAGTATACACAAGCATGCAATCATAGAAATCTGAAATGAGTTTTAGGCCTGGCTCTGCCATTTATAACCCGCATTCCTTTGGTCAGGCTCCTCTGGTTTAGTTTCCTTGCCCTTCCAATGCCAGTGATAACCCTTGGCGTAGCTGGTTCCCCTGCTTGTAGGGAGGGAACCCTTCACGTATACCTGTTAAGGATTATTACTCTAAAATAGACTTCTCTAAATTGGGGCAGTTTGGAGAGAGAAAAATAGATGTGATGGGGAAGGGAAAAAGTCAGCTATAGGGAGATGAAAACCATGGGTTCAACTGAAATCTGTAGTTTCAGAAGTAAAGCGTAGGCTTGAATGAAGGGCTTCCCTGTGTTAATATCTGCTCTCAGAAAAGCTCATTAACTGCAGCTCCCAGCTATTTCCATTGCTCCTTCTACTTCAACCTTGAACAAGACCACAATGGGGGTCTGGGAGAATTATCTGGGTTGAAATCAATGTAATGGAATGAAAAGTGAATGGCACAAGGTATCAAGAGACCTGGCTAGTCTAAGCTCTAGTCAGCAGTTACATAGACCCTTCTGAGATCAGTGAGCCTACCTGGGCTGGAGAGTGCCTGCCTGGTCCTTGGTGGTCTAGGTTAGTGTTTCCAAATTCACAAGAAATATTTATCTTTGGAATTTAGAAGCAAGAAATTAGAGAATCCTCAAATCATAAGTTATTCTTAAAATACCTCCAACATTCTTCATACTCTTTCATCATTATATATATATAACATTATTTAATAAATAAGAAGTATTAAGCTTAGTAGTAGTTACAAAGAACTGTAACCTACAGGGAATATTCAAACACTGGAAAATGCCAGGGGACATTATTGGATAGCATTCAAATAACCTAGCAAGGATAACAGCACTATACAGAATCACATGTCAAAACTGCCCAGCTTAAGAATTTATTTTGCTCCCAAAGCTTGTTTCTTGGTATACCACTCAATGGATTTGTATAAAGTACTATCTGTATTAACTTATTTTATTTGCAAGAATGACTCACCATTAGCATCAGACAGGGCCACAGGCACACACAGTTAACACACAGCAACAACTACAAGCAAGACTGAGTGATGAGATGATGGCCATTTCTCTCCTATGTGTTCCTGTCCTGTTTCCCTTAATCTTCAACTCCATGTATCAGTGTTTCCTACTCTTGTTTTTTATTTGATGAAGATGCCTTCAAACCAGTAACATCTCTGCTGTTAAGCTTTAGTATTCACAAGATAATTATACTTTCTCCCATTCCTTCAACTGGTTTTTCTAGGGATTAGGATTCAAAAAACACATTTCTCAGAAATCCTGGGAAGGAATTTCCACATGGGAACATTAGCCTAGGTCCTGCTCTAGCTCCTGTAGCTTCATTCTGGAAGGGCAGTGTGGTATAGTGGCCAAACCATGTAAGTTGGAATCATGCAGACCTGAAAAATCATTGAACCCCTCTAAATCTGTTATCTCATCTGGAGAATGGAGATACCACCACCAACCTCCAGATCTGTGGTGAGTAGAAAATGATGCAATTTTAGAACTAACTTCTAGAGTCTCATCCTTCAGAGTTGGCCAGAGCAGACTCTCAGGGTCAATATGTGGCATAGAAAGGGACATATCTAACCTCTTTGAATGAGAGACAGTAAGCACATCACGTTTAGAATCAGAGACTTGGATTCAAATCCTAGCTCTGCCACTTTCTTTAAGTGACTTACGCTCTCTGGTCTCAGATTTCATCTGCAAAATGAGGCTAACAACGAGTTATAAAATAAAGAACTCAGGACAGTGCCTGGCACAGAGAGTAGGTGTTTAGTAAATGTCCCCCTGCCCTCTCATTTCCAGCAATAGTAACTGACACAGAAGACCACCAGGAAACAGTTTTCTGATAAAGTGCACAGTAAGCACAGAAAATGATCCAATGAGGGCCGCAGATAGATACTTTAAGAAAGCTGGAGAAAAATCTCTTTTGGAATTAGCCCCACTTTAAGAAAGTTAAAAAAAAAAAAAAATCTGATCTTCTAACTCCATAAATTAGAAACTATGTACTGTAAAGAAAGCTTTAGTTATTCAATTCCGTGAAACATCAATTTCGGAAGTATTTGCCAAATCCTGTGCAAGAGATCAAATACATTAAAATGTGCCCAACCTCGAGCAGCTCACAATTGAAATATGAGGCTGACAGTGACCAGTACTATAGAATGTACAAGAATAACAGAAACATCAAGGCAAGAGAGATTCTTTCCAACCAGGGGAGCCAGGTTTTGCAAAGGAACAGCTAAATTTCACCAAGCAGACATGCAGGAGGACATTCAGGCAGAGGGGACAGCATGAACCAGAAATAACATCACATGGCATAATGAGCCATTCAGGGCACAAGAGGTAGAAGGTGACAGTGGAAAAGATGAACCGAGGCCAGGTTATGAAGGGCCTTGAAAGCCAGACCAAGAAATTGGACTTTATCCTGAAAGCAACACGGGCAGTTCATTTGGGGGTCCCAGTACATTTTAAGTAGGATTTACTTTACACAAGCTAGATTTTCATATGTATCAGAAACTTAACTGTTGTAAAAATCAAGGGGCATCACCGTTATTCCTTTTGTTCTCCTGGAGCACCACCCAAAATCTTCTGGATCTTTGGAAGGGCCTCAGCCTGAGGTCCCTACAAGGTCTTCATAGAAGAGCTCTTAGAGATCCTCCCCCATTTTATCTTTGAGGGAACTAAGGTCCAAAGTAGCACAACAGGTGTTAACTAGAGCCTGGCACCACCCTTCCCCCTCCTACCTTCCTTTCCTTCTGGGGAAGACCTAGGACACCACAGCTGTCTGTGGACCCTCCCCTACCAACCCACATTGCTCAGTCTCCCCAGAGTGGAGATACCTTACAACAGATTGATGGAGGGGGCCTAGGTCAAATCTTTCTTCTTACTCTAGAGGACTCTGCTGACCACCACCTTCCCAGCCTCCTTCCACTTGAGACCCCTGGAACAGGTGTAGGAGAGCATCAGACAGGGATGAGCAGCCTTGGATGTACCGTTCATAACTCAACACACCACCCCCTTTCTGGACCTCAGTGGACTTGTTTCCTTTAGTAATCTATAAAATGGAGATTGCCTTAGACCAGTGGTTTACATATCTTTAGCAAAGTTTTTTTTTTTTTTTTTAATTAAAGCAAATCTTACAAGGGAATTCAATACATAAAAGTAGTAAAAGCATAGTTGCATTGGTTGAAGTATTGGTGAGGTACCTTATATCCTCAGGAAGCTCCCAAGGTAACTTTTGTCAACCCCTAGGGCTCTGTGGAACAAGTCTGAAAAACTGCTTTGGCAGATCCCCAAGGTTCTTTCCCACTTTAGGACACTCAATTTCAATACTCAAGAAAAGAAGTATGGTGGGCTCAGAACCTAGGTCTCCACTGAGCAAGGCATCAGACCCTTCTAATGTCTATCACATTCAGGCTAGCAAAGACTCCCAACTCATGGGGCTATGTCTAAGCTCCAATATTCCCCCAGTCCTACACACAGTCAGAAGTCCATTCCCAGTGTCACCTCCTCACGACTCAGGAGCAACAAATGCCATCTTTAGCTAGGAGAAATAATCCTGCTAATTCCTGAAATTTCACCATTAGCAATTCATCCTTTTGGATAAGGCACTTGCCAGTTCCCCTAGAAGAAGGCATTCACCCCATATACTTCAGGGTGAACAAGGTCATCAGGCTGTTTCCTCCTAATAAGCAAGAGAGCCATACATCTTAGGCACTTGAGGTAGTCTCAGTGACTGAAGATGACAAATCTCATCCTCATTGCCACCTACTCCTGGCCCCTATACACAGCCAATCATCCTCACACCCCCCCACCTCCTAGCCACCTTTAAGCATGAGGCACTCAGAAGTTCCACTGGGTTCTTGCTTGGCCTGACCAGCCCAGCCTCTTCTTCCAGCCTCAGGAGCCTTAGCCCTTCGGCCTCCACAGGTTATTTAGCTTCTCTGTGCTTACAGGAACAAGGAGTCCAGAGATGCTGGAAAGCAGAAAGAGGTCTCCCCTTCCCCAAAGTGCAACTGATGAAGGCTAGAGGCGGCCACGAGGATGCATAAAAAACCTCCTTCTCCGCTCAGTTTTCCTCCATGCCCTCCTCAAGCCACTTAAAAAAATGTGCATCTCCTTGGTTCATGGGAAGACTGAAGACCTCTGGGATTTCAAAAGGATGCACCAACCTATGGAAAGAAAACACAGCCCTGTGAGTGACTATGATTAGAATCAGTCCATGCAATGAAACCAACTGGCGAGCCTCACTTGAGTCCCTCTGCAATCTGCCACAGCCCACCTGTTTAGCTTATGGCCCACCACTCCAGAACCTATGTTTCCCATCTGTCGGCAAGGGTCAAGTGGGCCAGATGGCTTTAGAATCTCACAAATAAGAGTTCAAATTCCAAGCCTGCCCTTTATTAGTTGTGTAGCTATGGCAAGTCACTTAAATTCTATAAAGACACCTACAAAAGAGGAGATAAACATAGTATCTTCCTGAAAGAATTGCTGAGTTCTAAATGAGACAAGGTATATTAAGCATTTATCTAGTACACTGACTGGCATGGTATACATTAGTTAAATTTAGGCACTGTTTTTATTACTATCCCACACTAGTAACTCTGGTCATTGGGCTTTCCCCAAACACACTCCCACTGCCTCTTTATTCTCTTCCCCAAATAGAGATTTCTCTCTGCTCCTGTCAGCCAGTTGAAAGCCTCTCTATCCCTCAAGACCCAACTCAACCATTTACCTTTTCCAAAGGATCTTCTCTGACCACCAAAGCCCACAGGAATCTCTCCCCTGTTTCTTTCACCTGGTTCTTGTCACACAATGTAAGTTCTCTTCACTTGCCAAACTGAAGAAGCATGAGGCCTTGGGCCTCGGTATCCTGTCTGTCAAACAGGGGTAATAATCCCCCAATTCCTTTCTACTCAGTGAGGCACTGTGAAGTTGTCATGTGATATCATGCTTAATAAATCACAACATATTAATACATGCTCAAACATTTGGAGTGAGTTAGATAATTTTATCCAGTGCCTGAGGATAATGAGTTTTGTTAACTTACTTCATGGAAACCTGTACCGATGTATATGTTTTTATGAGAAGGCATATAGAATTCAGAGTAAAGGACATTTTTAACACTTTAGTAGTAAGAGCTGACACTGACATAGCACTTTATGTGTGTATTTCATATATGTTTATTCCAAACCTTATAACAACCCAAGGAACTGGTCTGATCCCCACTTTATAGATGGGGCAACTGAGGCATATACAGTCTAAACAATTTACATATACTTTTGGTACAACTAACAAGTGGGGGAGCCAGGATTTGAGCCAGGAGGTCAAGCTCTGGAATTTGATCTCTTAACCCTGAAGTTGTCTCTTACCAGTTAAGCTGTAATTTCTCAACAATGCTGTTTCTACCAAAGGCGCCTTATTCTATCACCTCTGCTAAGGCAGTAACTCACAAACGCCCTGTCTATAGCTAGAATTAAGATCAGGGAATAGTCATGTATTCACAGAATCCTGGTTCCCTAAGATGTGAAAGAAAAGGATTTTATCATCCAGATAGGTGGTTTTCATCCCTGACTGCACATTAGTCAACCCACAGTGCTTTTCCCCAAACCAACATACTTGATCCCCAACCCAAACACATTAAATCAGAATTGTGAGGTGGGACTAGACTAGTAGTTTGAAAAAGTTCTCCAAGTGATTCTAGTATGTAGCCAGTGTTATGAACTACTGGTTTAGACCAGTGCTTCTCAAGCTTTAGTGTACATATGAATCACCTGAGAATCTTGTTAAACTGCAGTTTCTGATTCAGTAGGTCTCAGGTCAACGTAAGATTCTGCATGTCTGACAAGCTTCCAGGGGATGCCAATTCCACAAACCATACTTTGAGTGATAAAGATTTAGACTGGTTTCCCAAAGTGGGGTCCACTGACCCTTGGGGATCTCCAAGACTCTTTCAGGGGTCCACGAGATCAAAACTATTTTCATAATAATACTAATTTGCTATTTATCATTTTCACTATGTTGACATAGTGCAAAAGCCATGATGGGTAAAACTGCTGGTGCCTTAGCATGCATCAAGACAGTGGCACCAAACTGTTCTAGCTGTCATTGTATTCACCACTACACACTTGCATTTAAAAAGTCAATTTCACTTAAGGGCATTCTTGTTAAAGTGATAAAAATTACTCTTATGAAATAATGACCCTTGAATACATGTCTTTTTAATATTGTGCGTGATAAAATGGGAAGTATACATCCAGAAGTGTTATATATAAAACACTTCTGCTTACCTAAGTTCAGCAGTTTTCTTAAACTTGTCTGACTGAGTTGAAAGCTAAAGCTACTTTTTTCATGGAACACCATTTTTACTTGAAAGAACAACTGACAAATTATAGTTACTCAGACTTGAGTATTAGGTGAACATTTTCTCAAATATGAACAGTGAGTCCATCACTCTAAAGAAAACAACTTACATCATTTGTTGCCAAAGATAAAATTCATAGTTTCAAGCAAAAATTAGAATTTGGAAAACGTGAATTCATCATGAGATTGAAAGTGTCCAGTACTTTTCTGAGATCAGAAGTGATATTAATATAATTTTTTGATATTATATAAAGAAATGTCAACATTTGAAAAGCCTGCATAATTCCATGAACCAGTATTTTCCAAATGATTAATGTATGATGTTACAATATCATACAAGTGTAAAAAACCATTCAGAGTTCAAGATTTTAATAAAACAGTACAAAAAGGTCACTGATATGGTTTCAAATTCCACACTGTAACCAATGACTTATCAAGTTTTGGTCCAGCATCAAAGAATATCCAGTTATCTAAAAAGACTATTTAAATACTCCTACCTTTTCCAATGACGTATCTGTGTGAGGCCACGTTTTCTTCATATACTTCAACCAAAGCAACATGTTGGATCAGACTAAATGTAGTTACAAATATGAATCCAACTATCTTTTATTAAGCCAGACATTTAAAAAGATTTTGCAAAAATGTAAATTAATGCCATTCTTATAAAATTTTCTTTATTTTGGAAAATATAGTTATTTTCCATAAAAATGTATTATGTTAATATATAATGGTTTTACTATTGTTATTTTTAAATGAACTAAAAAATATTTTTAAAATTTCTCAGTTTTAATTTCCAATACAGTATACTTCAATAGATATAACCCACATACACATAAGCGAAGCTCTCTGGGGTCCTCAATAATTTTTAAGAATCTAAGGGGGTCCTGAGAAAAAAATTTTGAAAACTGCTGCTTAAGTCAAGCTTAAACTCTCTCATTCTAGCCCTTCATTTTACAGATGAAGAATCCGAGGCTCAGAGAGCGACAGGGACTTGCCCAGGGTCATGTAGAAGGCTGGTGGTTAGGCTCCAGGTCTCCTGCTTTTCATGATAATTCACTTAGTCCCCAGAGCTTCTCTGGCTGGTCCTGTGGTGAATGAGCAAGAAGAGATGCCAGCCTTACCTGATGTAGCTGGAAAGCATGTGGACTTTGGAAGTCTTTGTCTTTATTAACTGTAAAAGGAGGAAAAACAAAAATCATTGCTTTAGTACCTCAGCCCTAGGCCTGCAGCTGCTCATTCACATGGCCATTTAGGAGACAACATTCTTCCCAGGTCACCAGGCCCTGTCACTAGCTCACAAATGAACCTAGGGCTTCTTCTGTGTGGCAGAAAACTCAGTTTATTTTTGCTAGTTTGTAATTGGAAACTGAGAAAAAAACCTTGGTCTCACTCAATTCCCGATCAAGGCCTCCCATTCTGACTCACCAGCAGGATCTCTGTGGCTTCTTCTATCTCTCCTTTCCAGTAGTACCTGGGGAAAAGAACAAAACCAAGTTATAATGCTCACAAGAGGAGCTTAGTGAGACGTCAAACTTGACTCATCTAGATGACTCACTGAGGAGGAAACTTCAAAATCTCTCCAAGCCCACATACAGCAGTCCAGAGTTGGCCTGGCGCCACAGGTCATCTAGTCCAACCATTCTAATGCATGCATCGAGCATCTTCTTGAGGCTCACCATCTATATCTTGAAGAAGTCTATCTAACTTACAGGTTTTCACATGAGAAGAGTTTTTTTCTTATGGAGAGCCAACATCTGCCACCTAGTTGTTTTCTCTGACTGACTAGATGAAGAACCACCTCAGGACAACCCACAGAAATTCCTAAGCCCAAGCTGGGCACCCCCAGCTATTTCAAATGCTCATCCTGCATTCATGGCTTCCAGGCCCCTCCCACCATTCTGGAGTCTCCCCTTTGAACTGGTACTATTTAATCACTGACTGTCAAAGTTGAGTGCCCAAAGATAGATAAATAAAAAAGCACAGAAGGCTTCAGGGAGGAAGTGAGCCTTGTAAGATACAGAAGTAAGCCCAAAAATTAAAAACAAAGTTAGTGACGATGTTCAGAAAAAGAGTGTAAGAACACATCATGGGAAAGGAAAGAAACCTGGCCTGAGAAAATCTACACTGACCCAGGGCAAGTCTAAGATGACCTAGGTCATTGGCCCTGTCTATCTCACAGAGCTGTATTAAGAGGAAGGATGGACATGTGGAGGGAATGCCAGGCTGAAATGCTATTCCAGTCCCCAAGCACTAGTTCCCAGACTGGCTCTATGTGAATCTCTTGTACAACTTTTTAAAAATTCAGAGACTTGGAATCCTTAGGGAGACTAATTGAGAAGATCTAGGGTGGAACTCAGGAATCTAAAGCACAACCAAATTTGAGAGCCACTGGTATAGATGATGTGAGTCACCGAGGGAACACCATTGGGGAAAAGATAAATGATAACTTTTATCATTATATGGCACTTTCCATTCTGACATTTAGAGTTGATATTATTTCTATTTTTTCATGGGGGAGGAGAAGAGATGTGAAACAGGCAGAGAGATTAAAAAACAGAGAGGCAGCTGACAAATCCTGCACTACTAGTACTGGAATGCTGAAATATTCTGATGAGGGAAATGGTGCAGACCAGGCTTAACTGAACTGAAGGTGGGAATTACTTGAAAGGCAGAAAATACACAGAAACAGCCTGTCATATATGCTAAACTTTCAAGGTTTTCCAGAGAATCCAAAAGCAATGGAAAATTTTTTATTTGATATCCCCAGTTGGCTTACTCAAGGATGGAATGCCCAGTCTGACTTCTTTGCCAACAGCAAGCTAATTGGTTTAACTAAAGAATCTGCAAACAAGATTCACTATTCTTAGGCCATGCACAGTTTTTCTGCCTTCTCTTATGTATAGCCTATTTTTGCTTTTGTTAGATAGCATAAACCCATTAATTCATCTCCTCTGAATAAAAACCAACAGGGAATTGTTAATTAATTAAATGCCTTTGAGTTACTCTTTGACAGTTCCATGTTATTTCAGCATTCCTTCCACCAGCTAGGACCACACACTAGCACTCCCACCCCCCATCCGCTGGCCATGGTAAAACTCACAGTGAGGAGGCCTTGGGCAGGATGTTCACAGAAGCAGCCAGCTTCTTATCCAGTAGGGCCCTAAAGCAAACAGAGTGCAAATGAATGGAGCAAGTGCCTAGGATCTTAGACAAGGGGCAAGGGAACAAGAGTTCCTGGGAATTACCCAGGAAACCTGAGACCAAATAGATAACCATTTAGGATGCTCTTACCCCCATTCGCCCACCCCCAAAACCAGCACATTCCATAACCGCTGTGCACTACTGAAGACAGAGCTTTTCATAAGTCCTTGCCTGGGTGGAGAGAGAAGTAGGGAAGCAGTCGTGAGAAGGTAGTTTTTTTGTTTGTTTATTGTTGTAATTTAAGTGAAAGTTTACATTTCGTTTCTCATATAAAAATTTATACATACATTGTTATATGACCCTAACCGCTCTCCCCATACTGTGACAGCACACTCCTCCTTTCCACCCGATTCCCATGTCCGTTCACCCAGTTCCTAACCCTCTCTGCCTTCTCATCTCACCTCCGGACAGAAGCTGCCCATTTAGTCTCATGCAGCTACTTGAGCTAAGAAGCGCACTCTTCACGAGTATCATTTTATGTCCCACAGTCCAATCCATTCTTTGTCTGAAGAGTTGGCCTCAGGAATTGTTTTAGTTCTGGGTTGACAGAGAGCCCGGGGGCCATGCAGAGGATGGCTGTGTGACCACAGGCCAAGTACGTTCTTTTATTCCAGTAATAAGTATTTAAGCACCTGCTTTGAGATAAACACTTCCCGCCTCTCTTGACCTGACTCTCCTGCTGTACAATGAGAGGACTGGTTTAGGTCAGTGGTTTCCAACCCAATCACCACCAAGAATTCTTTTTATTAAACCACTTTCTTCTGCTTTTATTTCTCAGACACATATCTGGCTGATACCCGGTGCTTCTCATTTGTACATACCCCTGTGACAACACAGGGTTGGTACAACTCTAAGCAAAAGCAAAAAATTTTCATCATATCCTATGTTTGTCTTTGGCAAATGTAGACTCTTTTCACCTACCACAGCCCTAAGAGCACAATCATCACCTTTGCAGACCTCTAAGATTTTTTTTGACAGACCACAGGTTGGAATCCCTGGTCTGATCATCTAAGTCCCCACCAGCTTTCAATCTCAGTCTACTTCCTGTGCAGAGCACTGGTGATCACAATAATATGTTTCAACTAGTTCAGGTGTCATAGAAACAGGAGCACCACCAAGTCATCAATGCAAGGAAGAAGAGTTCCCAAGTATCAAAACCTAAAGCCTGAAGTGAGACGGGCCCTGGCAAACCTTTCTCAGCTGTCAGACAGCCTGGTCTGTTCTGAAGGGCTTGGACCTGCCAAACAAACCTTATCTGAGCCCTGCTCACTGGTCCCTCTTTCCTCAGATGCTGCCAAGAGAATTGACCTACTTTCTCTTCCCTTGAGTCCCGGACTGAACAGTGCTCTATTTAAGGATCCATATTAATGTGGCAAAACCATCCTCACTCCCTTGGAAAGTTCCAGGAGCTCAATAAATCCCTGACTGTAAGGAGACGTACATGGGGCAAATGTGTTTAAACAACCGCTGTGTGTCTCACTCAATCACGTGCTGAGAAATCTCATTTTGTTGGTTCTAAAAATGGCATGCAAACACAGGGGTTGAGTTAAGCCTCTAGAAAAAATAATTGCACTGCCTCACAGGCCCTTTCCAATCTCTTTGGAAGTGTGAACTCAGTGGCTGATCACAGCAACCTTGGGTGAAAGGTTGTAGAACTCTGGAGGACTGTGCTATTCAAAAAGGCCCTATGGCAAAAAAAAAAAAAAAAAAAAGAGGCAGAAAGATAATTGAACTCAATTTTAAAACATACTCAAGACCAGCTATGAGCCACAGATGGGGATCTCAGGCTGTCATGCTCATGTGAGGAAAGTAGAAGATAGAATCCAAGAGCTAGTAGGCCTCTGGAAACGATCCAGGCCAAAGGTCATGGACTAGTGATTCACAGACAAATAAATGGTTTGGCCCTCATGACATTTAAAAAATGTTGACTTTGTTACCAATGTTTAATATCAGGATATTTCACACACACAAAATACAGATTATCTGCCTTCTCTCTCACACACAAAAAAAGCAAGTCTTACACCACTGGGCCTGCAGTGCTACAAGGTCACATTTAGCTAGAGCTGAGCGGTTGCTGTTCCATCTAGGCATGAAATACACTTCTCAGATCAACACAGTTCCCGTTGCTATCTTTCCTCCCAACACTAAATTTGTACACCACCTAGGAAGAAGAGTTAGGGTTGCTATCTACCATCATCCTTCACTGTTATACCCCAGCCCACATTACTCATTTATGTCTATAGCCATTTGTGTTTGCCACCCTGGTCTAATTCAGTCTCTTCATTGTACATATATGGAGATCAAAGCCAAGAGGAGATTTGTCTAAGGTCATATGTGGAGTTGGCAGCAGAGAGGGGACTGGAATCAGGACTCCTGATTCAGCATTCAAAGTTACCCCCACCCCCAATCCCAATAGGAGATTTTTCTAGTTAAGAATGTGCCTGTCAATGGTAGATCTAAGAACACTGTCAGGAACTAGAACTGAAAAGCAGCAGAGTGTGGAAGAGTAAGCACTAAACCGGAGCTAAGGATCTGGTCCTGATGCTGGTTCTGCTGCTAAAGTTGGAGTTCCTGCCAGCTAACATTTATGGGGCCCTCCTCCTCATGCACCGTATATTTACTCTCCTTCCACAAGTCCTGGAAACTAAGGCTGTTTGCTTCTCTTCTATCCAAATCTCTAGTAAAAATACTAAACAGGACAGGTTGTGGTGAGAGCTCCATAGCCACATTACTAAAGACTCCACTTCAGACTTCTGGTTCAACTTCATAGACTGAACACAAGTTGCAGCCTACCCACTCATACCAAACTCTAGAAATAACAGAAAATACTTATTACTTAGCCATGTCAGAACACAATAAGCAGAATGTTTTACATACCAGAAACTATGAGGAAAACCCAAAGAATAAAAGACACCACTGAGATGTGCATGGGAACATGCAAGAGGTTACTGCCACAAAAGATGAAAGCAACATTCCTTGTCTGGAGGTGATGGAAACCAGAGCAGCCATGAACATTAAGACAAAGAGAAAATCCTAAAAACTATCGGAGAAAAAACATTACCTACAAAGGAATGAGACCCCAATTAACACTCAACTTCTTATCAGCAACCTTAAATGTAAGAAGACAACAGAGACCTCTCTCCAAGTTGGTACTGATTCATTTACCTGAACTGATCTTTCAACCAATTAGAATCCCATGTATTCCTTTTCCTCCCAAACCCACAGGTGTTAGCTGAAGTTGTTTCCGGATAGAACCTAGATTGGCTAATCTAGGGGTCCAGAGAAAAGACAGCTCAGCACAAACCCTGGGTGTACCAGAAGCATCAGAGGGGATTATCAGTTTCTAGCTGCTAAATACTGTGGTCCTATTCCTGGGATAATCATAGGTTCTTTTAGGCAAGAGCTGTTCTCCAAAGGTAATATTAATGAGGGAAAAGTAGGCATTGTGGTTGAGGGAAGGAAAGATGGAATCAAATGCAACGTTAACCTGAGACCACCAGTTTGGAAGCTGTGTACCCCCAAAGACTGTATCTAACATTTTAAAACACTATAACTTAGTCTAACATCAACTTCAAGCATGCTGAGTTGTGGAGAAAGAAGAAAGGGAGCAAAGAGCCAAACCCATTACCCTCCAGCCCCACTAACCCTCTTCAAAGCTGCATCTATAAAGAAGAGAGAAGTAATAAAATTCAGATATAACAAACATTTGTTGAACATCTACTATACTCAGGGGCAGGTTAAGCAGTAAGCAAGGTACACACAGGCTTACTTGTACTTAGATGTGGTAAAAAACAGGTGAAATTATGCACTGCAGATTAATTAGCACAAGCAAGCCTTGCGTACCTTGCTTATTGGGTAATCCATCCTTGACATATTCGTTACTGGGGTAAGCAATGTACATATTTTATATCATTTAATCCTCCCAACAACCCTGAGAGGTAGGTGGTGGTATCCTATAATTCAGAAAACTAAGGCTTAGGGAAGGGAAGAGACTTGCCCAAGGTCACACAGTAAGTAGCAGAGCCAAGATTCAAACCGTGTCTGATTCCAAGTCTGGTGCTCTTTCTACCACACCACATCTGCTTCTAGAAAATTAACAAATACTTGGGATGGCCTTCTCCTTCTCACTTGTCATAGTGAGCACTTCTGGGACTGAACAAAGAGAATGCCTTCAAGAAGAAAGACTGCTGGGCCAAGACCTAGGAGACTTGAATTGTCAACCTGAAGGGTTCTACTGTTCTCTTACCTTAACACTTTGGGCAAGCCACCTATCTCTCTAGGTCTTATATCCCCATATGCCCCCATGTAACACTCAAAATTTTCAGGCCCAGCAGCAGGATCCGTGGGTTGATCATCCAGCTGTGTTCCTCATTTCACCCCAAGTAGATAGCTGTGTAGTTCATCACTGAACAGATGGGGTTGTCAGTAGAGAAGAGCCCCAAAGTGGCCCATCTGGAGCATCCTGGTAGCTCCCCCAGCCTCCTGGGGTAGCATCTGAGCCCCTTCACCATACCTGGCAATGTCTCTGGCAATTTGCTCATTGGGACAGTTGACAAAGACGATGGAGTGAGTGCCGGAGACATAGCTGCCGGTAACAGATGAATGGAGCTGTAGGCTAAGGGTCTTGAGGATGGGATATGTCAGGAAAGCAGCTGTCAGGATCTACATGGTGGGAAATGAAGAACACTGGTCAGCAGTGACATCACCAATTCAACACCTCCCACCTCAAGCAGGCTGGGACTAAAGCTGGGATTGTCTCATCCCATCTCCATTTACACAATAATAATTTGTGAGGTCTGTATGAGCTTTAATGCTTAAAGAAAAAGTTTTCGTGACTTCACATTTTCCTCTGCATTTTACAGATGAAAAATGGAGGCTAAGAAATAAACTTGTTCAAAATCACATAGCTTTTAATTGATGAAGTCAGGATTAAGACTCAAGTCTAGATGACTTGAAATTCACTTTTATTGTAAAAAACTATTAGAGGTAAAGTCTCAGCATACACTGAACTGCTGCTGGCCTGTGGAGATAATTACAAATGGTAAGCTCTTACGTCCATCAAGTACTCCATGTTTTAGGGAGCAATTTCACTTCTACTTGTTTGTGGATGTACCAGACATGGGTAGTCTAGTAGAAAAGGTAGCCTTGTAAACAGACCAATTCTAAAGCAGTGTGGCCTGTGCTACTGTAACTGAGAGCTGGGGATCCTAGAGGAAGGCTCTGAGGGAGCAAGAAAAGGCTTTGAAAAGGTGCCATCTGAGTTGGATTGTAAATACTGAGTAGACAACCAACAAAAAATTTTATTATTTTAATGGTAAACATTTAAAACAGGAGAAAATAAGAAAAGCTGGAGAATATCTTCCATTCCAGGGTTCTCTACTTAGGGGTATAATGGACTTAATAACAGGGATAGGGGCAACTTTCAAGGAGTCACACTGTGACTCAGGTGAACGCTGAACAAGAGCCTGCTTCTCTTGCCATCTAGCCCAGGGCTCATGCCTTGCTCAAATGAACCTTTGTCCTCCCACTCGTTTTACATTATCACCTGCATCCTGGCTTCTACTTCTTGGCAGAGCCTGAGTAGCGTTTTTATGTGTTTAGCTTCAGTTTGACTAACAGGCCTTCTCCAACCACCTACATCAAAGCCTCCGATTCAACATACTAGTCCTCTGAACTAAACCAGTGACCATGCAAGAAAAAAAAAAAGAACCAGGCTTTTCAATGAAGCTTTTATTGTTATTTTATTTTTTTTAATGGCAACTCACTTAAGACTATAGTGGGAAAAAATACAGAAGAGGATTTAAATCCCAGGTGCCAGTACTGCTAGCTGATTGTGGCCTTTGACAAGTTATATCCTCTTCCCTTCAATAATCTTATCTAGAAATTAGGGATTGTGACACTCGTGTTGACTACCTCCCAGAGCTGTCATGGGGTTCAACAGGATATGAAAAGCAATTTGTAATCACTAATTCAATAAAGGTGCTCACTACTTAGTCCCCAGCACAGTTCATGGCACACAGCAGTTTCTCAATAAATACTTGTTAACTTATGAATTAATAAACCAACAAGATTTTGTTACTAGGACTCTGAATAGCATTTTGAAGTATGCAGGGCTTTTGCATCACCCACCTTAGTGATGTTTCAAGCAGAGAACTGCTCTGTAAGATACCCAACTACATCACTCTAAGAGGACTCCCAGCACAGATTCTAGGCAAAAAGAGTACTCACTGGGGGGTGGTTGGCACATAAAGAGGAAATTAAGCCACTCAGGTGACTAGGAGGGGAGGGAAGTACCATACAAGCCTGTTTCCCAACCAAGAGGCCATTCCTTGAGAAGATCTGGGGCATTTCAGTAAGCAGGTCTTAGACAAAGAGCTAATAAGATTAAATATACACTTATCTATAATGTGTTGAAAATCTTAACATGAGCTCATGAAGTCAGAATACTAAGAAGTAAATGAGCCCTCAGGTATCATCTAAGACAATCCTTTATTTAACAGATGAGGAAATCTAGACAGAACATACAGAAACTCAATGACAGAATCAGGACTTGAACCCAAGACTCCTGCCTCACATTTTGGGCTCTTGTGGACTGCAGTGAGCCTAGGAATGGATACTGGAGCCATCTCAGCTTCACTTAACCCAGTAGTTCTAAATTCCAGACAAATTTACAGCCCCAGGTAACAAAATCTGGAAACATTTTTGATCATCACAACCGAGGAGGGGATGCTATTGGCATCTAGTGGATAGAGGCCAGGAATGTTGCTAATCATCTTTCTGTTGTACCGTTTGTCACACTGAAATACAGTTGTTTACATATGCCTCCCCTACTGGATGTGAGCTCTTCATAGTCTCATTCATTTCTGTATTCCCAGCACCTTACAAACCCTGGCAGGGAGTAGGCACTTGAGAAATGTTTGTGGACCTCATCAACAAAGTATCATCCAGAAGCATGAAAGCTCAGTTTGGAACCAAGGGTGGACTGCGATATATTAGAAAGTGACATTACATGACTGCAAAATTAATGGAAAATACACACATCACAATATTCCCTAACAGAAATAGTTAGTATGATGGGAAAAGATTTACTATAATTTTAAAAGAAAAGCCTTTAAATTATGCTATAACCTTTTATATTTATTACTGTCCACCTTTTCTAATTTTACATTCTTTAAAAATATTCTATGTATTCTTTCAGTTATATCATATTTCATTCTTCCTTTTTGTCCTGGAGTATTCACTATGGAAGGAGGTTATAATTTACATTACAGTCTCAGTATTAAAGCAGACGGGGCACTAGAAATCACCTAAGCCAATGGTTCTAAACTTGTAATCCTCTTAGCTTTAAGCAATCTGTGAATATTCTGAAAATGAATGCAACATTGTGTGTATACATTTTCCCCAAGTATGGATCTAGAACTTTCAAACAAAAACAACAACAACAACAAAAAACTCAGAGAAAAAGTTTTATTACAATTCCAAAAAAGTTAATAGCCACTGACCTAGCCAAGCCTGTGCTAATTTTTACAGACCAGGAGACAGAAAAAGGAAGAGATCACCCAAAAAGTGAGCAGCGGAGCTGGGCTGGAACCCTGGGCTTCTGACCCTCCCCTCCAGTTCTCCTTTCCACCTACTCCCCCCTTCCCATCACCACCACCACTGGGGTTACTCAGTTATCACTTCCTACCTTAACATTTTAAAAGAATTTCGGAGATAAGAAAACAGAGCCCCAGAAAATGACAGAAAGGCTATGATGGTAACTGCAGTAGAAAGAGGAAAAGACTATCATGTGACCCTTGGATAAGAATTCACCAGCAGACATCCCTTCCCCTCCCCTCTCTTCCCCTAGCAATGAACCTGCCATCACCCCTCCTCACAGGTGGGAAGTGAAGGCGTGCTTGCAGTCTCCTTCAGAACCGCTACAATCTCCAGAACACCGGACGGTACCTCCAGGGATCTCATCTTTCATCCCGTCTGCCTGCCCCCGGCTTAAAATCCCAAAAGTAGTGAAGAGAAGTGGTCTTTCTTGCTTTCTTTTCCTCCTCTCTCAGACCCCAGGTTGGGGGATGAGGGGGCTCAGAGGTTCGCCGTGGCGTGGGGCACTCACCAGGAGGCATATAATGACACAGGGCCGCGGATAGCATGGCAGAGTGCACCGCGAGCCCAGCTTGTCCATGGCGGCGCTAGTACTTCAGCCGCAGCAGCGATCGCGAGTGGCAGCCCCAAGCGAAGTGGCGGGCTCGTGGGCGGGCACTGAGGGCTTAAACTGCCCCCTCCCACCCTCCACCAGCAGCGGGCCGCCCCGCCCTGCCCCGCCCCGCCCGGTTGGTCCGCAAGATAGTGGGAGGGCGGGGAAAGAGGGCAGAATTTTCACCAAGCAATGTTTTCTTTTGAAACATACAACCCCTACAAAAATAAAAATGCTATTTCCCCTCCCCATTCAAACAAACAGAAAATTCCTAGAGATGCATAAAAAAATTAACCTTTTCTTAGATATACAAGACACTAATAATACACAAAGCCGTTCCACTTTAGAGGCCCAAGCAGCCAACAAAAAACATTCAAGCAAAGCACACACATGGCCACCTCCCTAGAGCTCGTTTCAAATCCTCCTTGGTTTAGAACACTCTTGCTCCCTACCTCTCCCTAGTGAACTCTTCCATCTTCCCAGGCCACCTGCTCTGTGCAGACTTCCCAGAATTAATCCCGCATCCCTCTTCCAAGGCGCTATGCACACAACCTGTTGTCGCATCTAACAAACTAGAGGGAGCTGCAAACAAGAAAAGCAGGAGCTAACTGGCAGATTATTGCCCTTTTAGGAAATGTAGAGGCCACTGTTGCCAAGGTTTCTAATTTTTCAACCCAGTTTTTTACATGAAATATCCTAATTTTAAAATAACTCTGGAGATGAAGTGGGGGAGGAATTGAGTGCACACGGGCACGTGTAAACTTTTTAGGTTGAGGGAACTCTTCTGTATCTTGATTGTGGTGATGATTACACAATTGTATATTACCAAAATTCAACGAACTGTACACTTTTAAATTGGTGAGTTTTTATTGTAAATACCTTAAACAAAAAAAGGGGGGAAAATGGTGGCAACCAATTCAAAATTGTCTTAAACTGGGCAGACCAAACAAAACACACCTGTTTGTCAAATTTGGCCTGCAGGTTACCAGTTCATAGCCTCTGTGCTTATTGTAATTACCTGTTTACCAATCTGTCTCCTTCCTCTGGACTATAAATTCTCGACGGCCTGATACACTTCCTAGCAAAGTCCTGGCAAAGTAGTTAAACCAGTTGTCGTCCTAGTCCTGTCATTTACATTGTTAGATGTGCAGACTCAGAAGTTGCTGAACCTCTCAGCTTTGGTGGACTTTTTGTGTTTTTTGTAAAGAAGGGACTAACACCTTCATAGGTCTGAAGTGAGGAGTAACAGAAGATGAATGTAAAAGTGCATTATAAAATGTAAGATGATGCCACCATTTCAAGAATTCTCATCTCAACTGCCAAGGTTAACACAAAAAACCTCCAAAAGTGATTGACAGATAAACTTTGGATCTCTGGAAAAAATAGGGTCAGAGAAAATGAGGTTGAGTGGTGTTATGAAAACCATTAAAGTCTACTAAATCCAGAGCCTTGGTGACGTAGTGGTCAAGAGTTCGGCTTCTAACCAAAAGTTGTTTGAATCCACCAGCTGCTCCTTGGAAACCCTATGGGGCAGTTCTACCCTGTCCTATAGGGTCACTATGAGTCAGAATCAACTCAATGGCAATGTTGTTGTTTTTTTTTTTAAATCAAGATGTTGATCTTTTATACCTATTACATTAATAAGAATGTGCACTGTTAAAGACTGTTAATTACCTCAGATCCTGAGATGATTTCCTGAGATGACATACCCAGTCTTAGCACAGAACCTTGCTGAGTATGCTCACTGAATGTTTTTTGAACGACTAAATGATAAAGACGTTGTGGCTGGCGATTATAAGGATGCTGGACACAATGAAGGTGATGTTAGGGTAGAAGGGGAAGGATGGCAAGAAATGAACTGTTATTCGGAAGAAGCCTCTGGATCTTCTTCCTTCAATTCAGGTACTTCTACTCTCTCCAGGTTCAATTCCAAGGTTAGATTCCAAAAATCTAACTCTGTATTTATGGCTTTGGCAGATTCTTCAGCTATATCAAGAGTCTGAGTGCTACCGCCTGAGCGTCCAGGCTCTTCTGGAGCTTTCTTCTCCTCCTCCTTCCCAGATTCTGACTCAGATTTGGACCTGGATTCAGACTCAGACTCCTCCTCAGACTCCCCCTCAGAATCAGATTCTGTATCTGTCTTTCACCCATACCACTTCCTCTTCATTGTCTGAGTCTTCCCTCTTTCTTCAACTCCTTCGCTTTTATTTCTAAGGTTCTTCTGCATCTTTATAGGTATACAGCAATTTACTGAAATTTTTAAAGGCCAAACTTCAATCCAGGAAAGGATCCAAATTGATTGCAGCATCGATGAGGTCTGAGGCCTGGCGTAAGACAGCAGTTTCCTTAGATTCATCTTTACTTTTGGTTCAGAGGACTTGTCTCCTTCCTTGTCTATGAGTATAGACTCTATCACCAAAGCTTGAAACTTGAGCAGCTCGTTGATTTCACTTGCCTTGCTATCAATGAATTTTAAGTCCATCCCTTGTGCAGATTCTGTAATTTTTTTCAACTTCATTAATTCTAGGAAAACCTACATAATCATTCACAACATCCTCCCAAAGTTTCCACCAAGCTTTATTAAGAGCAGCTGGTTTTATATCATCCATTTCTTCTTTTATAACTACCAAAGCATCGGCTATGTTGTAATGTTGCCATGTTTCTTTCAAAGTTTAAGGCAAAGGTTTTCTTCAATACCGTCAGCAAATGGTCAAACATATGCTTGGTGTAATACTCCTGAAAGCTTCAATTATACCCTGATCCAAGGGCTGAAGAAGGCTAGTGCCTTCCAGAGGGAGAAACAGAATTATCAACATTATGATGAGCAAAGTATAATGAGTCCGGGTGACTGGGACCTCTTTCCACAACTAGCAACACTCAGATTTTTTTCTGTTAAGTAACTTCAGGCTTGACAAAACACTTATGAAACGAATCCAAAAAGAGGGCAGTGGTTACTGATACTTTGGGGTGTGATCGCCAGAAAACAGGAAGACGTTTTTTACCTTTTTCCTTACGGCAAGTGAGACTAGGGTCTTTGTAAAGTAGCGATGGTTTTTATCATTTTGTCACCTGAGGCATTGGCACAAAAAAATGAAGGAAATCATGTCCTTAGCTTCCTCTAAGCTTTCTGGATTTCTTTTTCTCTAAAAGCACGTAAACATATGCACTTTTCAAAATAAGCTTATCACCTCAGCGTTGAAGACCTGTTGAGGCACATAGCCTCCAGCTCTTAACAGTCTCTGGAGTTGCCTGGAATACTCGGGTGCCAACTCAGCATTTAACAATTCTTCTTTCTCTATCAACCTCGCATTCCGCAGACAGTTGCGATTTTTAAACTTCTCAAACCAGACCTCGCTCGCATAAAATTTCTCTTGGTTGCCATTCCCCGTGGTTTCCACCAGCTACTTGTAAACGCGATTAACCTGGTTGCAGATGGCCTTCAATGTTAGATGACGTCCTCCTATGGTCTGGTCCTCAACCCAAAAGATTAATTCAGTCTCCATCTTCTCTATGTTTATACCCCGGGGCATGCATAGCACCTTGGAGCAAATGGGCGAAACACTCTCCATGCTGGCACTAATAATAGCCTTCTAATTTTTTTTAATGGTGCTCACCGTAATCTTATCAACGCCAAAAAGGCGCCCCACATCGGTCTTACGCCTTTGTCCAGCTTACTGAGAATTTTCATTTCGTTTTCCAGAGGCTTGACCCTCTGCCTCCTCTTGTTACACGTCTGGGGCGGGATCGTGATTCCACCCCCTGCCTCCACTCCGCCTAGTGTTGCCTCAGCCGCTGCAAAAGCCGCAGCGGCCTCCACAACTACCCCTCTCGCCGCTGCCGAGAGCCTGGATGGCGTTCGAGAGGCTGTTTAACCTTCGGTTCGTCCCCATCCTCACCACTCCGCTCGCGGGGCATTTTTTCAAGTCTTCGCTTTCTGTAGTAAAAACCCCAGACGACTAGAAAGTCAGATTATGTGCCCAACTGAGCAACGTCCAAGATAACGACGCACCGAGCCCGAAACCACTATCAACCTTTGATTTGGCACCAACGAACCAGGTATCGCGAGGCTTGGCAGCCCCCTAACGCGCAAGTGCCGCCAGCTAGGCATTGCGATTGGTACGACCCGGCTGTTCTCAGTCACAGAAGACACGCCGAGTAGGGAGGCTGCACTAAGCAGGTCTCGCGAGGTTGGGAGAAACGCTCCGGGAGCCCGAACGGCGGGCGGCGGGTCGAAGAGCACCTGCGGGAGGGGGCAAGATGGCAGTCCAGGCATTGGCGCTGCTCCGGGAGATGTCGCGGCTAGAAGCGCCGCTGGAGGAGCTGCGCGCGCTTCATTCGGTGCTGCAGGCAGTGCCGCTTAGCGAGCTGCGAGAGCAGGTGGCGGAGATGCACCTCGGCCCGCTTTTCTCCTTGCTCAACCAGAACCATCGGTGAGAGGATCCTGAAGCTTGAGCGGGCAGAGACACCCCCAGGTCTAGGGAAGCAGTGGATGGGGAAAGGGGAGTGAGTTTCCCAGTAGCAGGGGAGGCAGAAAATAGCCGGAATTTCAGAGGGGTAAGGACCTGAGAGGCAAGAGACAGAGGTTCTAGTTCAGCCTCTGAGGTGTGTCCGTGGGCTAGTTTACTCCTGTCGTTTGGCCTTTCTACTCTCTTCTTGAAATAGAATTTAGAGGAGCAAAGCAATGGTTGACCACCCACAGAGAAGACTCCATAACCACGTGTATAGGTCCCTGACTTTTTTTCTTCTCTTAAAAAGGTATCGTATCCTGGCAATTTGGCAGGATCCATCCACATTTTATTTGGTTTATTTTTTATCTTTTCAATTTTGTTGTGCTTTAGGTGAAAGTTTACAGTGCACATTACTTTCTCATTCAAAAATTTAAACAAATTGCTTTGTGCCATTGTTTGCAATGCCCCCAATGTGTTAACACCCCCCCTCCCCCTTCCCACCCCAGTTTCCTGCGCCCATTTGTCCATTTTTCCTGTCCCTTCCTGCCTTCTCATCTTTGCTTTTGGGCAGGTGTTGCCCATTTGGTCTCATGTACTTGATTGAACTAAGATGCACGTTCCTCACGTGTATTATTGTTTTATAGGCTTGTCTAATCTTTGGCTGAAAGGTGGACTTCAGGAGTGACTTTGGCTCTGCGTTAGCAGGTTGTCCGGGGGCCATAGTCTTGGGGGTTCCTCCAGTCTCTCTCAGACCAGTAAGTCTGGTCTTTTTTTGTGAATTTGAATTTTGCTCTACATTTTCTCCTGCTCTGTCCAAGATCTTCTGTTGTGATCCCTGTCAGAGTGGTTGGTGGTGGTAGCCGGGCACCATCTAGTTCTTCTGGACTCAGGCTGGTGGAGGTTGTGGTTCATGTGCTACATTAGTCCTTTGGACTAATATTTTCTCTGTGTCTTTGGTTTTCTTCAGTCTCCTTTGTGCCAGACGGGATGGGATCAATAGATGTATCTTAGGTGACTGCTCACAAGCTTTTAAGACCTCAGATGCTACTCACCAAAGTAGGATGTAGAACATTTTCTTTATGAACTATATTATGCCAGTTGACCTAGATGTCCCCTGAGACCATGGTCCTCAGCCCTGGTAACTCAGACCCTCAAGGTGTTTGGATGTGCCTATTAAGCTTTTCTGTGACTTTGCCTTGGTCAGGTTGTGCTGACTTCCCCTATATTATGTGTTGTGTTTTCCTTCATCAAAGTTAACAGTTGTCTGCTATCTAGTTTGGAGCCCTTTTGGCACAGTGGTTAACGTCTTGACTCTAACCAAGGGGTTGGCAGTTCGAATCCACCAGCCTCCTTGGAAACCATATGGGGCAGTTCTACTCTGTCCTGTAGAATCACTGTGAGTTGGAATTGACTCATTTGCAACCAGTTTTTGGTTTTTTACTATCTAGTCAGTGATTTCCCCTCCCCTCCCCCGTAACAATCAAAGATTGTTGTTTTCTTTGTGTAAACCTTTTCTTAGGTTTTTATAATTGTGGTCTCATATAATATTTGTCCTTCTGTGATTGACCTGTTTCACTCAGCATAATGCCCTCCAGATTCATCCATGTTGTGAAATGTTTTGCAGATTTATCATTGTTCTTTAACATTGAGTAGTATTCCATTGTGTGTATGTACCATAATTTGTTTATCCATTTGTCTGTTAATGGGCACTTAGGTTGTTTCCATCTTTTTGCTGTTGTGAATAATGCGGCAACGAACGTGGGCGTGCATGTGCCTATTCGTGTGATGGCTCTTATTTCTCTAGGATAGTTTCTCAGGAGTGGGATTTCTGGGTCATATGGTATTCCTATTTCTAGCTTTTTAAGGAGGTGCCATATCATTTTCCATAGTGGTTGTACCATTTTACATTCCCACCAGCAGTGCGTAAGAGTTCCAGTCTCCCCAAATCCTCTCCAAAGTTTGTTATTTTCTGGTTTTTTGATAAGTGCCAGTAATGTCAGGGTAAGGTGGTATCTCATTGTGGTTGTTTGCGTTTCTCTAAGGGCTAATGATTGCAAGCATTTCCTCATGTGTCTGTTAGCTGCCTGAATGTCTTCTTTGGTGAAGTGTCTCTTCATGTCCTTTGTCCATTTTTTAACTGGGTTATTTGTCTTTTTGTTGTTGAGGTGTTGAAGTATCCTATAGATTTTAAAGATTAGACCCTTGTTGGGTATATCGTAACCAAAATTTTTTCCTAATCTGTAGGTTCTCTTTTTACTCTTTCGGTGAAGTCTTTTGATGAGCAGAAGTGTTTAATTTTTAGGAGCTCCCAGTTGTAGGGTTTGTCTTCTGGTGTTTGTGTGTTGTTAGTTACGGTTTATATTGTATTTATGCCATGTCTTAGGGCCCCCAGCGTTATCCCTATATTTTCTTCCATGATCTTTATTGTTTTAAATTTTATATTTAGGTCTTTGATGCATTTTGAGTTAGTTTTTGTGTATGGTATGAGATATGGTTCCTGTTTCATTTTTTTACAGATGGACATCCAGTTTTGCCAGGACTATTTGTTAAAACAGACTGTCTTTTCCCCGCTTAATGGACTTGGGCCTTTGTCAAAGATCGACTGACCATAGGTGGATGGATTTATGTCTGGCTTCTCAATTCTGTTCCATTGGTCTATGTGTCTTTCATTGTACCAGTACCAGACTGTTCTGACTACCGTGGCTATATACTAGATTCTGAGATCAGGTAGTGTGAGGCCTCCTACTTGTTCTTTTTCTTCAATAATGCTTTGCTTATCTGGGGCCTCTTTCCTTTCCTTATAAAGTTGGTGATTAGTTTTTCTGTCTCTTTAAAGAATACTGTTGGTATTTGGATCGGGATTGCATTGTGTCTGTGGATCAATTTGTGTAGAATTGGCATTTTCTCAGTGTTGTGTCTTCCTATCCATGAGTATGATATGTTTTTCCATTTATGTAGATCTCTTTTGGTTTCTTGCAGTAGTGTTTTGTAGTTTTTTGTTTGTATAGGTCTTTTACGTCCCTGGTTAGATTTATTCCTAAATATTTTATCTTTTTAGGGGCTATTGTAAACGGTATTATTTTCCTGATTTTCTTTTCGAAGTTCTCTTTGTTAGTGTATGGGAATCCAACTGATTTCTGTATGTTAATCTTGTATCCTGCTACTCTGCTGAATCTATTAGTTCCAGTAGTTTTCTTGTGGAATTTTTGGGATTCTCTGTCCACATTTTAAATTCACATGCCCTTGATCCAGTAATTCCTGTTATAGAAATTGAGTATACAGGTACACATACTCACACAAAAATTTACTTTATACCCAGGAATATTCATAACGGTTTGTGACAGCAAAAAAGAAAGACCTAGAAATAACCTAAATATCCATGAAGACTGAGGTAGCTTTATATAGGTGACATGGAAAGATCTCTAATATATATTTTGTTGAATGAAAAAAAGAAAGTTGTAGAAATTTATGATCCCATTATGTGAAATTTTTAAAAAGGATTACCCCTTTCTTGCCCCATACACACATTGGGATAACAGTGTATAACATTGGAATATCTGCAAAGATACAGCAGAAACTATTAACAGTGCTACCTATGGAGTGGGAATTAGACTGGTAGGACAGCAACTTTTACTTTTCATTGTATACATATCTGTAGTGTTTGAGTTTTAAAAAAGTGTACTGTAATTTTAAAATATTTACTAGAAATTTAAAAAAATGACCTATTACTCAGCCGTAAAGAGAAATGAAGTTCTAATACATTCTAGACAAAGATTAACCTTGAAATGTCAGGCACAAAAGGACAAATATTGTATGATCCCACTTATGTGAAATACCTAGAATAGGCAAATGCATAGAGACAAAAGAATATTAGTGGTTACCAAGGGCTTGGGGAGAGAGGAGAATGGAGAATTATTGTTTAAGGGGTACTGAGTTTCTATTTGGGGTGATGGTTGCACAGCAGGGTGAATGTAATTACTGTCACTGGATTGTACACTTACGATGGTTTCAGTGGAAAATTTTTTGTTACCTGTATTTTACCACTATCAGATGAAAAAAATTTTCTACTTGAAAAAATAATCACTGGACCAACACTGGATTATTTCAGAGTACTTTCTTAGCTCTGACCTTCTAAGATTCCTTCCTTTTTCATACTCGTTCCCCCTTCATTAAAATACATATTAGTTACCATTCTTTCAGGTCTGCCAATGAAAAATCTCTTACTTATCCTCTTTTTAATTCAGGCTCCCATTCTCCGTTTTGCTAGGTCTGTTACCTTAGTCTGACTTCTCATTATCTCTAGGCTTCCTATTCTACAGTATCCTTCACACACTGCAATCATAGTAAACTTTTTAGTAAACTTGGCTCAAATCTTTCCTATAGTTTCCCGTTGCTGTGGTATAAAATTCTCACTTAATGTGGCATTTGGACTTTGACAAGTATATTTCCGCCCTACTTTTCCAGCCTCATTTTTCCTTGCACTCCCTTTCACATAGGTTTTTTTCTGCTCCAGCTACCATGTAGCAGCACTTGTTTTTCCCTTGAGCATGACTTGCACTTTTCTAACTTTGTTCATGCCAGTGCTTCTGATATGCCCTTCTCCCTCTCCAAATTCTATCCATCCCTTAAGGCCCAGCTAAAGTGCCATCTCTTCCAAAAAGTCTTTCTTGATCATTCAATTGCAAGTGACTGCTCTTGAAATCCCCTGAAGGACATTATCATTATTTATGTTAATGATATTTAATACTTACTGTTCTGTGTTATAGTTTGCATGTGTTTGTTTCTAGTTTTTCATTTTTTGAAGGCAGAGACCATATTTTGTTCATTTCTGCATGCCTCCCAGGGCCTAGCACATAATATAATACATGCCCAGTAAAAGATTAGACTCAGAGTTTAGAGAGGCCACCTAGTTTAACCTCTTCATATTATAGATGTAGAGACTAATTGAAGGTCATACCACAAGTTAGCAGAACTGCAGTAGG